CTCTACATCACAGTAACAATTTTATGTCCATTTACTGCCTTGGAGGGTAGCTAACATTTGGAAAGGTGGGTGGACGTCTTGTCACTGTGTGTGCTGCAGCTCAGTGTGTTTCCCCATCAGTGATTTGAGGGCTTGCCTGTCTAGCCGCTAGACGGGCATTATGACACGTGTTGCATAGTGACACAAATAGGTTACGGAAGTAAAGGCTGGACACAGTCGAGCTGTTTTCTGGCAGTTCTGGGGCAGTGTTTCCTGTGGGAGATGGTAACTCCCTTTCAGGAGGACTTTGGGCATTTTCACTTTACAAACTTACATGCACAAAAAAGATAATTACACAATAAAGGAAAGGGAAAGAGCATGAAGATACCTCTTTAATAGTTTGATCTAAGTTTTATAGACAGCATATACATAATTATTTTAATGTCCTGTTTACACCCTGGCAAAGATGTAATGCTAGTAAAACATGTAAGTGAACAGATGTATAATGATTCACTAGAGAAGCATTGAACAGGGACCATTATTATTAAAGATACAGAATTAGAGAGTCTCTTTGCAAAATGTCTTAACCATTGAAACCAGTCTTACATAAAGCATTTAAAGCTGCTATTATGAATGTACCCATGTCTGCTTGTATGTGAAAGGTGTTGCTGTTAGTGATGAGAGCTAAAGGAGATACAATATTGACGACTTGAATTGAAGCTTTCTGCTGTAGTTTCAGGGCAAAAGTTGAACTTGTTTTACCCTATCTTAGACTTTCCTTTCTTCTTCTCTATGCTCTTTTTTCCTAAACTGCCCCCACACACACTATACACACATCTCTCCCTTAACTTTTTTCTCCCTTGCCCTCCTTCCCATTCCTCATCAGTGGAGGTGTCAAGACTCTACCGCCGCAGTGCCATCTGGGCCGAGGCTGATAAAAGCTCATGCGCCGGGCCGGCGACGCCTGCAGGTCTGCCAGAAGCCAGTGAGGCCTGACTTTCAGAGGCGATGGGAGAGATTTGTGGCACCCAAGGAAGGAACTGCATGCCGTTAATGTGCTGATCCAGCCTCTCTCCCCTTTGCACCACCAGTCAGTCAGTCAGGCCCTGCACTGGCCTGAATCCTCACTGAGAAAAGTGTCTTTTTCTCAACGGAAAACCAACACGAGACTGGAAGACTTTGTGATCTGTGATCTCTCTCATAGCATTTGGTTCATGTCTCACATTGAAAACGCTGCTTGGGTGAGATGGGTTAGAAGCTTCTATCATGCTGTCCTAGACAGATTGGGATGGAGCGAATGTCGTCCGGAAGGGTAAAGACCATTCACCCATACATTTGCCTGACACCACAGCAACGCTCATTCAAAAAATCTCGTCTGGCAACAGCAAATCCCTTCCTCATTCTCTATACCCAACCTCAAGGTCAGTAAGTTAGTCAGTGATGGTCATATAGGAGAATGAGGAACTCCTATTTACTTTAATAACATCCCAGGACCTCAGTTTTAGGTGCAGCTGTCTCATGGATATAAAACAGTAGCAAAAGTGGTAGGATGGTAAGGCTGTGAAGTATACTGACATTTGCTCAGCTGTGCTATGCCTAAAAGGCCACAGACAGACCTTCATGCCCATTTGAGGGTACTGATTTCTAAAGGTCCATGGTAAGGAAGACTCAGGTGGAAGAAGCATCATGCTGATACCCTCCTTCAATGTGTTTTCTAGGCCTTCATGATTTGTTCACTTCATTTGTTGTAGTGGATCCCTGTATCTGTATCCCAGTATGACACCCAAAGAGGACATAATAGGTTTCCTTCCCAGAGAATAAACTATCAGTATCTAGTCCTCCAGGTGTGTTTGTAAAATGTTCATATGTTCAGGCATATGCGTCTTGGTAGCTCACCTGCTAGAGAGCATACTATGTATTAGGTCTGTACTGCGAAAGGCCAGGTTCAATTCCAGCCCTGGGGTCTCATTTATAAACGGTGCGTACGTACAAAACAGGGCTGGAAACGTGAGTACGCCACTTCCCAAGCAAAGGTTGTGATCTATAAAAAATAAACTTGACGGGAAAATGTGCGTCCCGTAAGTAAACTCTGAACCATGCCTACGCACATAAAGAGGAGAAATGAGAAACAGCGACTCACGTGGCAGAAGGATGAGACTGTTTGAAATGAATAGGCCTACTATTGTGTAAAATATATCGAAATATTACCTCTGAGTAGTATAGACTTAAAGCCTTTCTAAATAATCATACACTTGATTTTCCCTGAAGTGCACAATAAAAAAACATAATTTAAGATCATCTGCGGCGCACAAAAAGAACCATGACTGAGGATAATAAACACAAACGGAGATATCTGTTTCTGCAAAAGAACACCTCAAATATGTTGGACAGTTTAATCAGGAATCATATTAACTAATAGGCCTACTTGCATGCATTGAAATTTATTCTCATAAATAAGGTGAACAGGAGGATAAATTATATTTAAATTGATGCTGTTTTCAATGCGTCAGTCGAGCAAATACGAGAGCATAGTTTCATGTATTGTTATCACATGTTTGTTTCCTTACCGAGCCAAATGCTGTGCGTAAGCGTGTGGATGTGATGCGCTGCTTGTAAAACACATTATGGAAAAATAACACTATTTTATTGTCATATACAAAAAGTCATAGGCTATTTCTTTCAACTCATCACCAGCCTTATTAAGTGAGTGGAGTGTTTGTGTGTCCGAAATACATGTTTAAACACAGGTGGAATGCATTTGGTTTACTCTCCTTTCAAACGAGGGATTCCAAATTAGTACCTGGGTCATCCTGTCTTGCGCGTGTGTGTCCCCCTCCGGTCAGTGATGTCACTACAAGAACGTCAGTGTCACACTGAGTTGAATCTCGTTTTGTAGCTTCTCTGTCAGAATTTGCCTCCTTTTCTTCCTGCAGTCAGGACGTATTAATGTTAATGAGGGGCGTTTCACTGACCATTTATAGGCAACTATGGGCGTTTGAAGGGTCGGACATGGCGCTCCTTCATATGCGCCACATTTCAAGTTAATTGTGATTTATAAAGGGAACTTGCTTACAAGCATGCGTACGCACGGTTTTATAAGTCTGAATATTTTTTGGCGTACGCCATTTTTGGCTTTTGGGCACACGTACCTTTTTAGTGAGGATTCTACGCACAGTTTAATAAATGAGACCCCTGGTCCTTTGGTTCATGTTGTCCTCTCTCTATCCCTATCCCCTGCATTTTCTGTCTTTCTCCAGATATCACTTTTACAATAAAACAGAAATGCAAAAAATAATGTTGTGAGGAAGGACAAAGACTACTCAGATGGTTATAGAGCCTTGGATGTGACCACATACTGTATGTCAATGATTGGGTCATTGGAGCACCATTAAATGGTAACTTGGGTATTTTGGGGTATGTTTTTGCGTGTATGTGAGTGAGACAATTTTTCTTTAAAGTGGTCAAGTACTGAGTGAGCACGAAACAGGGCTGCAAGGTAATCCTTGCGGGCAAACTAAAGTGCTTGTTTTTGCCACTGACAGGCTCGGATTGTTATGATAAGTGTCTTGCAACATTATGAAAAGGATCCCTACTGATATAGACCTTTTTAAAGAGGATGACAGTTTAACCAGTGGCTTTGACAAGAGCAGTATAGCAACTGCTTCTGGTTAAACAAAAAGGGTCTTACTCTACTCAAAGTCACACAGAGAGCATCCGTTCAATGTGGGTTTGAGAGTAAATATGGAGAAAAGTATCCTTCCTTTTCTGTTTTTAGACTCAGCTACCTCCAGTGTGCGGTTGAATGTGAAGAGGTGGTGCCAGTCCAGTTTATAGGTGGAGGGTCTCCTCCCTCACACCTTGGATCCAACTAATCCTGGCTGGTGTGGTGTGATAGCAGCTTCTGAGGAGACTCTCACTCATGCTCACTCAGAGAACTGTGGTTATGGAAATAACCAGAATGACCTTTTTACCCTGTTCTCCTCTTATGTTTTCTTTTTCGTTTCATTGTGTGAGCAAAGGGAACTCTTCCAACCTTGTTAGATCAAGAAGTGACCAATTTCAGTCTGAGGTGTATTTTGCCATCCATCCATTACTTTTTATTGTTGCATTTTATTGGCTTTCGAAATGTTTTACTGCCAACAAAATTGTTCTTTGTATCTTATCAGTTCCTGTATTTTATTTTATGATACTTTCCTCTAAACATACTGGCCTTGGCATGACAATGTTTTATACAGTAGTGCCAGGACATTTTTGGCACAATTATGCCAAATGTGTATTCACTACTTCCTTAGGCCAAGTTGGCAAAGTGTAAAACTGTTAAACTGCACAGGTGCGTACAGTGTGGTGACCTTATTGGTGGAAAATGTATTCTGTATCCCAGATTCCAGTCTTTATTGTGGCCATTTTTTCAAAAAAGAAATGTTCGAACATCCAACAATCAGCATCACAATTTACTGATGATACTAATGTTTCTGTCCCTCTGGACCTCTTGACAAAGGTTCAGAAGGACTGAAATGTTCGTATGATCAATAAATGATGATGCTGAGCAAGAGCAGTGTGCAGGATCTTCTTTTCTCAAGCCTTTTTTCTGGAAAAGGCCTTGTGGCAACTGTAGTAAAAAAAAAAAAAAGAACATTCTCTTGACACTTCTGCCCCACACAAATTAGTTGAATTCTGACATACGATTTATTTATGTTCTCTTCCAAACCTAGTCTTTCTTGATTATACATAAATATCTTGCAAACAGGGAAATAGTTGCATGTATTGTCCGAGCACCCTGCCTTTTCACCTTTGCTCACCTTACTGTTTCCTGTTTATAATTTCAGCAATCAAAGGAATTCAAGTCTGTTTTCTTCCTTTGTGAATGTGTGTGTGTGTTCTTGGACTCCCTCATACAGAAAGTTGAGGAGGGACATGTATTAGGTATTAAACACTGGAGGTTACTATTAAACTCAATCAATGTAGTCAATGGAAGGCATGACAAGCACAATAACATATTTCTGTGTTTAATTGTTCAACAGGTCTGGACCTGAGGCACGCCCAGGTGGTGGTGTTATCCACAGGCACTAAGTGTATCAACGGAGAGTATCTGAGTGACCAGGGACAAGTGGTCAATGACTGTCACGCTGAAGTCACGGCCCGCAGAGCTCTGCTACGCTTCCTCTACTCTCAACTTGAACTCTTCTTGAGGTAATAGAGCTGTCTTCTGCTGTATATTTAAGACACACAGACATTCTTTGAGTGCTGCACTTGAAACCCCTGTGGTATTTACATTCTTAATCCCCTGAAATAGCCAGATAATGCTCGCTAGCAACTAACTAGTCGATTGGTAGTCTGGAAGGCGGGCTTACTATTGAAAAATCAATTGCCTTCATCATGCTTCCTTGCTGACTTGGCGGAAACGACTACTCTGCTTTTAGCCAAAAATACAACATGGAGGGTGGTTTCTTTTTAACCCTGACTCGGAAAACAATTACAGCATTATGCTGATTGGATTAAAATCCTCTAATGTTGATCTTTACATAGCAAGAGAATTATTCTTTATGCAAATTCAAATAACCAATTCAAAACCAAAGTAGTGCTGCAACTAATTTTTATCATTGATTTGTCAGATGATTATTATCATTGGCATTAATCGAATAAGTATAGTATAGTCCATAAAATGTCAGAAAACAGTGAAAAATTCCCATCACAGTTTCCTAAAGATTCAACCATCCAATCAATCTAACAAGTATTTACATAGAAAGTTCATTTCAGCTCTAAACCAAAGTTGATATTGATATGTATGCAGCTATAGAGCTTCTACAGGTCAAATCAGGATCATGTCGGTTACGATGAATTTAACCAGTTGTGGAAGAAGTATTCACATCCTTTACTTAAGTAAAAGTAGCAATACAACAGTGCAAAAATACTTCCACATGAGTTTTACAAGTCATACAAGTGCAAAAATATTATCAGCAAAATATACTTATAGCAAGACTATGTAACTTTTGAAAGACGTATTAACACATTATTCCTCTTAAAGATTATAAGTTAAAATCATTAGTAATAAATCATCCCCTCGGTTCAATGAACTCAGTGGTTTTGCAGCTTGCTGCAGTTGTCCAAATAAAATTAAATAGCTTTTTGACCTGCTCTGTAAATCACTTGTGGAAGATTTTAATATTATTTAAGTAAAAATAATAGTATTTTTTTTTTCGGTTTCATGATGGCACAGCCAATCAAATCTTGCGTAAAGCAATAACATCAGCGTTCTATCATAGGTGGGGCAGATGGTCCCACTGAGCCAGACAGCAGCCTGCTACTAGAAAACAGAAAAGCCACAGACAACCCTAACAACAACCCACATCAGCTTTCTTGCGAGAGTCTCCTTTTTATCTAACTTACAAACATTAACACAAGTCTTGTGCTGCACCATGGGCTGTTGAACGAGCCACCAAACACACATTTACTGGGGAAAAGTGCGCTGCTAACATCAGTTTGCAGGCTAAATACCTATTGTGGCTAAAGTGACCAGATGTCCCAAAAAATTTTAGGTAGTCCTGAATTACAAGCAGTTGTCCCGAATCCTGTCCTGTTTGTAGTGAAAATTCAAATAAACCTGAGTTTTGATTATTTATAGCCATATAATACATTAAATACTGATTCTTTTGGTGTTGCCCACAAATGGGCACTGTTCCGGCTCTCCATTGGCTACAGCAGAAACTGTAGGCTATCTGGACATTTTGTCTTTAGCGTTGTTATAGCCATGACGCTAAAGACACCTCTTATTGTTTTCTTATGTAGATGAAGATAGTGAAGTTGCAGTCGCGAGGACAGGGGAAGTGTAGCAGAGAAAGGTGTGATAGGCACCTCACTGATAAAATGAATAAAATTAAATAAATTGTGTATAATGGAACATGATTTTCACAATGTTGCATACAGCAAAGTCATTGTGTTTTCTCTAATGACAGCTTCCTGAACAAGAGTTATTAATTTTAGCTATCCTGTCCCAAATTTTACCTATTCTCATCTGGTCACCCTAAATGTGGCTGCTCAGCAGCAGCACATTCTGCCCATCACATATAGGTAACAAGTTTGTTCCCTGCGGTGTAGTACTGGCACTCTGGCAGCCTCCCAGCTGCCGTCAGTCAAACACAGACAGGGACACACCCCTCCAGCCGTCTGAGATGAGCAAGAGTATTTTCCCCAAAGACCTTTTTTCTTATTTTAATTTTAAAAAACTCTCTCTTAATTATACATTGAAAATAAACACAATGAAATTAGTTTTGACTAAAATAGGATCACTAAATTGGATTTCAGGCACTTTAAAGTGGCTAAATGTAAGCTAATAATAATTATCTAAAATAAGCTAGATATTGCAATGTTACTGACATTATTGAGTCAATTAAATTTCCAAATGAGTCTATTACTGCTACTTGTGATACTGTTACACTGTTTTTAGCATTAACCATTGTTGACACAGTGGCTATACGCATAAATGTACACTATTATTATATAATTGAATTATTAATACTGACGATGTTTGCAGCATTTTTGCTAATATACACAGTACCTCAAAATTGTATTAAAGCATAGTACTTTAATAAATGTACTCACTTACATACCACAAGTGAATATATATTTAGCTTATATCAATAAGTAAGACTGCTGCCAACATGCTGCGCAGGGTTTATGGACTTTAGTTTCCAAATTGCCGGCAACCATTTTAACATGCATTACATTAAATTATGCATTACAGTAAGCGTAATAGCATTACATATCTTGTTTAATGTGACCTCCCGCTGCAGTGCCAAAGAATGCTCTCTCCTCTATAATAAGCTCCATGGAAACAGCACTGCTTTGTTCATCAGAGACTTTTCAATAATCAACAAGCCATATGTGCACTGCTCTCTTCAGCTAACTAAGCATACTATCACACACTCAACTGGTTCATGTTAGGGTCTCAATGGCCTATTTGTTTTTAGCACTTTTTTAAGTGTAGCTACTTTGTGTGCCTTTGCAACCTGTACATCATGCTCTAGTGCAAACAAACTCTCACGAAGATTTTTACCAGTATGAAGAGACAGTCTTGGTGAGTTTTGACTCCTACCTCCAGTGCATAAGCATATATTATGTTTTTGAACTCCCTGAGGAACTCGAACGCTAGGCTGTTTCATCAGATTAGTGGCTAGAAGTCTAGATCGTTGAATGTCATATTTGCATACAGAGCAGTGACTTTTTGTCTTAGAACAATGCTGGATGGCAGCTACAGAGACTTTGAAGCTGAGCTAATGGGGAAGATAACTCAAAATGCAATGACCAAACAAAATGCCAGAACTGCCATATTTACACTAAGTAAAAGGACAGACTCTATATAAAGAGTGCAATCGTGCTTTGCATTGTGATAAATATACTATGTGTGCATTTATATATATTTGTAGATATTTAAATTTTATTATGTGTCACCTTTTACACCATATTGCAAGTATTCAGCTCGTTGTTAATGGATTAGAAAACTTCTGATTTAGCTGTCCGACAAACTACGATTATCACTAATCCATCTGGCAGACTTTTTTATTCTTCTTCAGCATCTTTTCTAATGAATCATATCTACTGTGTTTTCTTGTTACAGTATAACATTATGCACAGGTAGCAGTTGCTAGCATTAAAGGTGTGTCAGACAGAAAGCGTGTTATTCACGTGAATTTGACTGCTGGACCTTTGTGTAGTCTGAGTTTACTGATACCAAGCAACCAATTTGCTGACTGTACAGACTTTGATGTGTTAACCTTAACATTAGCTACTTAGTAGATAATACTGAAAAGAAAAAACATAGTACTTAATTATGACACTTTCATGACTCAAACGCAAAGCATGTATAGACCATTCTCTCTGTTTCCCCTGAGACATTTCGTGAGGAGTCTGTCGCAAGGAGTCTGTCTGACAGCAGGAGAATGGACTGTGGTTAGAGAGGGCCAGTGTCTATCTCTCTCCATCTCTGCCTCACTTCATCATTGGAAACGAAAAGTGGAAATGTGTTTCTTATGCTTTGATGAATGGTGCCACCCTTCTCATCAGTCTCCCTCGTACTTGTTTTCTTTTTTGCTTTTCTTTTTTTTGCTACTAAAGTAAAAGGCCAGAGGACTGGGAGGAGTCGATATTTGTGCGGCGTAAGGAGTGCGGCTACAGGTTGAGAGACGACGTCCATTTCCACATGTACATCAGCACCTCGCCGTGTGGGGACGGGAGGCTTAACTCACCCTATGAAATCACCACTGACCGTAAGACACCAAGGCTTTATTTCCCTGTTTCTTTTTACATAAGTTGAAAAAAAGACTTGTTATTTAAATTGTGGTATTTTGAATATATATCATGCATTTCTATTTAATGTAATCACTTTAATTTTCTCTATCATATCATTCTGTCAGTCATTCTCTTAGGTTTATAGAGAGATGATTTTCTCAGGCAGATATTCTGAAAGCCACTACGCTGCTTTTTCTTTCTTCAGACACTGTCAAGAAGCCGGCAACCTTTTCATGTCACATATCGTCTTTGGCCTCTTTCAGCCACGCTGTGCTGACTAGATGAAATTTTATTGCTTACCCGCTGGAAATAAATTGTATATTCATTTAGACGGTTTGCCCAGCATTTTTCTGGTGGCCTACGAGTTCAGAAATGTAATCTGGACTGCACTTTCCATCAGTAGAATGTATATATTTCCCCCCTCCTTTCATCACTGACAATAAAGCTGCTATCCAGCTCTATGAATATACTACAGCACAGAACATGGTGAGGTATTCGTGAAACCAGTAAGGATGGACAGAGAGAGAGGGAGAAAATATGATGCTGTCATTGGGGAAGCCTTTGAACTAGACGCTTTTGGTCATTAAACCTTTTAAATGTTCTGCTGTGTGCTCTCAGAGATTAGAAAATTACTTAGTACCTTTTTCCTGACTGTTCTTAAACATTTCTGAGCTGCAAGTCAGGGCTTAATTTTTAGCTGCTGTCACATCAGCCGAAGCAACAGCCATGGAGGAAGTGAGGGAAAGGAAGAGAGAAGGAAGTGGAGCTTAAGCCTAAAGAAATGAGAGGTTATTAAAATAAAAACAGTTATTATATATGTACACTTGGCCACCCTATTAGGGAGGTATCCATACTGAAATTTTACTGAACAGCATAATTTATTCTGTGACACTATATATATGTTTCCTTCTTCCTGAAAATGTGGGGATTCTGTTTGTTTTTCTGATACTATGCAGATGGTTTCCAAACACCGCATTAGCGCTTATAGAGGTCATGCAGCCCTGTACACCCACATGAAACCACATGAAAGTGGTTTAAACGGATCAAGGGCCTGGGCTCTCGCTAACGGGGTTAAAAAGATGAGGGTTGTACTGTTTGTTGAACATCAGACAATGAATAGAAAGTGTCCTAAGTGCATCGATGGTGCATCAAAACAGCTAAATCCCGGGGAATTGTTCCTTCACCTTCCTTCCAATACACAGACTGCTCTGTACATCCAGCAGTCTAATCAAATACTTACTTCATTAACAGTTAGGTAGTCAACGCTCCAAAGATAAAATATTTGATTCCCTAAAAGAAGCTGTTAACCTCATTTAAACTTATGCTTTAAAAGGAATTGCAATATTTGTCCTCCGCTGGAATCTGTACCTGTCATGTTATTAAAATATATAATAGTAATGTTTTATTGCTGATCAGATTACCATAATACGGGATAAACTTTTAACCTTAGTCTATGCAGCTGGTTACACATGAACACCGACAATTAATAGCTAAGAACACCCCAAATTATACAGAGAATCTAACACTTAAAAGTTAATGTGTAAATGTAATGGATGATTTGTTATAATACATTAAAATCAATATTGGACAAATGTTGACTGTTTCCAGCTTAGTTTAGCTGATGTCTTTTTTGACCTGGTTTATTTTGTATGTATGTGTTGTGTTGGCAGTACACAGCAGCCGACACCTCATGAGAAAGCACCGCAGCCACCTGCGAACCAAAATCGAGTCCGGAGAGGGGACAGTGCCGGTGCGATGCCGGGGGCCTGTCCAGACGTGGGATGGCATCTTACAGGGAGAGCAGCTTATCACCATGTCCTGCACAGACAAGATCACCAGGTCAGTCCTGTCAGATCATACCTTTTGGTACTTTATGGGGTTAAGGTTGTTGTTTTTTGGCACTCTTTCTGTCCAAAATCTTTCCCCTTTTATCCTGCCTCATTTTATAGGTTGATTTTGCAATCTGTCAAGTGGGTCAAAACTAAATTGGATAAACGCACCTCTCTGTGCAAACTGACGTATAATGCGGTTGCTGTGGCTCAGGAGGTAGAACAGGTCCACTGATCATAGAGTTGGCAGTTCAGTCCCCACCTCCTCCTGTCCACATGCCAATGTTTCCTTCCCTGAACCCCAAATTACTCCCAATGGTTGGTCATCTTGCTGCCATCGGTGTGTCCATGAATGAGTGGCAAAAACCTATTTTGACTTAGCAGTGCAGTTATTTGTGTATGGGTTGTGTTAATTATATTGCAAAGGTGGACACAGGACACCCTAACACACTGTAAACTCCTAATGCAATCAACACATTCTTTCACCCAGGAGGTCTCTGTAAGAAAACAATGGTAAACGGATTGATTGAAGGGTTAACTTTATTAGGAGATCAGCTGCCTTATGAGAAGGAGTGATCTGTGTTTAATTAAGCATTTTCAAATGAGCCGGAAAGCTTTGGTTGATATTTACCTTAGTGCATCTGTGTGTATAGGTGCATGTTTGTGTTGTCGGAAGCCAAGCTGTATGTAAAATCATTTGTAGTCCGTGTGGTGACTATTGATTTCCCATGTGTGACTTGAACGGCTAATCCCATTCTAATGAATAAGCGTTTTAATGACGTCACTGTTTTAATCTCCAGATCTGTAGCGCTGACTCTCCTCTAGCTGACATATTAGTCACACAATCCTTTACTCACTGTGGGCTATTTATTTATACTTTACAGGTAAATGCCGAAATGTAAGGTAAAGGTTTATTTTCGTTGAACCAAAAGTGTAGGCTTGCCAGTACAGCCAAGCAGTTTGGTTTGGAAATACTTTCAATTGTTCCAGTGCAGTGTCACTTATTTACCATTTATTTATTAGCCAATTTACTACTGGTAACACTCGTATTTAACACTGAAGACAAAAATACAATGGAGCCAGTGTATGTTCTTATGTCCGCATGTTGGCAAGGCTGCGCAGGACAGACGGCAACGCTAAAACAGGACAGCTTTACTCTTCCGCCTCCGTTTTCACACTGACTTCATGTGTGAGGAGTGAAGGCATCGGTGTATACACACTGGAGCATCTTTACAGGCAGAGGGAAACAGCCACACACACCCACACAAATATGCATAATGATATTCACTGACTGTATATTTAATCATCTTGTGTGACTATAAGTTACACAGCAATATTTTACTAAGATTTGCTAGCATTAGCCACCATATGCTACTGTTCACGCCAGAGTAAGGACGTACCAACAAAAAACAATTTGTAGCTTAGGAATTCAACTTTTACTTTGTATGAGAAATAATGTGCTATTTCTTCTTTTCAAAAGGTACATAGTTTCACTTTAAAACACACATAATTCACTGATTTATACAAACTTTAAAACTTTTAACTGTTTAACAAATATTTTTGTTTTGGAAAAAGCAAATTAAAAGCAAGTACTATAACCACAACTGTACACTAACAATGTAATGTCTATTTAGAACAATAGAGCAACAGTCCCCCTTTCAAACTACTTCTGTAGTTTATTTTTGCTTATAGGTATAAGTGCTTATAGGTTTTAGGCTATAACTCAGTGGAGAATGTTCTGTAGGCTACATCACGAGCCAGATGTTCCTTGATGTACTTTAAACCGTTACTCATTACTAATAACTTTTTTAAAGCTGGGTCTCCAACACATAGGCGGAAATCACCGGGGGGGGGGTCAGGGGGTCATGTCCCCCCCTTAAAAACCATCAAATAATATAATGATAAATACTTAAAACAATTGTGTAAATAGTAAAACAATACAAATACAAACACTTAACTGATTATTTTGTCTTTAATACAGATGATGCTGAGTCATTAATAAATTAATCATGACAAAAAGTTATGATAACCCCAATTTTTTTTCTATGAGCCCTCTATGTTATTATAACATTACCTAGCTTATAGCTTGTTTAACAGCTTTTTGGATTGTAACTCTTCTTCTACAGCTAGAGATGCGCAGATAGATCAGCTGGGGACTGAAATAGGCCGTTTATTTTCGACTCCGACCAGTGACCGGGGCCGAACAGTGTCAAATATCCAATTTTCTGCCAGTTACATTGAACGCTACAAACACTATGCACCGTGTTTCACGTGTGTGCACAGACAGTAACCTCATGTCACAGCCACACACACACACAGGCCAAAACATGTCTTAGGTGTGTGGAAGTTATTCGCGAGAGTGAAGAAGATGCAACGCTCACTGTTTACATCTGCAGAGAAACACACAGAAAGAGACACGGTGGATATTGTAGAGCAGGGAGCAGGTAAAGCAACAGTGAACACAGCTGTTGGTGACGATGCCATTCATACCACTGTGGTCTCTATCTGTAATTAACAACAAGCCTCCTCCACACGCGGCTCATCTGCTGCTGTGAAAACGGAATCGCGGGTGAAAAACCAAACGCAAGTTCTTTTAAATAAAACTGCTGACAAATAAAGTCAGAGCAGACAGAGAGAGAAAGAGAGAGAGACGACAGGTGTGGGTGAGTTCTTGTGTGTCTGACGGGAAAAGCAAGGTGAGCAGATTACTGTAGTTTGTGATTAGATTAAACACATAAATAAATTAAATGGTGTGCAATTTATTTTCAGCTCCTTCCAGTGAAAATGCTAATGTTATTTTATGATCAATGTTTCAGTATGACCATACTATTAAGACCAGTGAGAATAGCTAACTGGTGCTGATGGGGATCCAAATAAATATAGATTTTTCCAATAAATAGTTACAAAAATGTTTGTGTATGCTGTCAGTTATAGATATAGATTCCAATTTTAAAGAAATGAAATCGGAATTGGCCAAAAAAAATCAGTAACTGGAATCAGCCAGGAAAAAAGTAATCTGTGCATCTCTTACTACAGCGATAATCCTGTGTGTGAACCACTATTAGGCTAATACCGTAGATCTACTATTGTGTTTGGTTTTGCACATTATGATGTTAGGAGAGAACCTATGAACTTAAGTCATATTTAAACAACTATTGCTTTGTGTTGTTGACCAGAAAAATAGTAGTAAGACTTCTCTCTGTTTACACGTATCCTATAGGCCTACAAGTATAATTTTGGCTATTATTTGTTTCCCTTTCAAAAATTGCTCTTGAGAAATTTCATCTCACAGTAGGGGGTACTGTGAGATGAAATTTACACCCATGCTCCGACATTGCCAGCGTTGTGTTGGACAGATTTGTGCTGCAGTGTTTATGAGAGAAAGAGACAAGCGAGAGGATTTGCTGTACGGAGTAGGTGCCAAATGTTCTCAGGTGGTCAGATCTGCTCGGGGGCCTGCACCTGTTGATAACGTGACATAACGTGATGACGTAGCAGATTGTGATTGGCAATCTTACGGATATAGTTTTAACAGGTCATCAGATCAACTATGGAGACCCCAGAGCCGTTAAATAATCTTATTTAAGTTAAATAATCAGGCATGTGATTGGCAAAGGGCAAAAAGGCAGGAAAATATACTGAGACCACCCAACACCCCGATTAAACTGGCGGCGGCTCTAACATGGAAGGTAAAGCAGGATCCATGACAATATCTTATTTAATGGATGTGTTGCAGTGGGAATCAAAGACAAGGGTCTAATCCACTGCACCATCGCAACCTCTCTATAATAATTATTATTTTGTATTCATTTTTACCAAACTTCAACAGCTAGATGTGCAACATGAAACATGAAATAACTGAGTCTATAACTAAATAATGTAACTACTAACTTTCAAATTAGTTCAGTTGAAGTTAATAGATGATTTTTAATGAATAAGAGACAGCAGCAAAGGTTGTTGCCTGTTTTAAGACCTGGTGGTCTGACTGCTAAAGAAACACTTATATTCTTCAGGAAACTCGCACAGCTGATCAGTCTCTATCTGTTGGAAACTGTAGGAAAAAGTTTGACATTTCAACTCTGGCAGCGGGCGGGCGTGTGCGTGAGACGTGAGCGACCGCGACAGTTTAACGGGATCGCGCCAGTCACACAGAAGCCGTTGTCATGGTTACCTCGCGGAGCGATTGTTTGCCTGTCTGTTGATGAGGAGCGCGGAGCGACCCGTGTGAAAAGGCCTTATATAGCCTAAACCCTGTCACAACCATTCACAAGAAATTAATTAATAACGTGCCAAAACCTTTAACATAAGGACGACTTAAAAAGCAACCATCCAAAGCAAAGTGTATAGGCTACATGAGTGATCAAGACTTAGACAACAAAGTCACCATTAACCACCAGTAAACATTAGACATAACAAGCAATAATCAAAACATTCCCAATTTATCTGATCCTTATTGTCAACTCAGTGTTGGGCAAGTTACTCAGAAATAATATTACCTACTAGTTACTTAGCATAGGCTATAGACCTACTCCTTAAAAAAGTAATATTAGCGACTCTACTTAGGCCCACTACTGGGTGATAGACTATTATAACGCCTCTCTCTCCCGATGAGTCCAAGCATCACTGGCAGCAGCGGCCGGAGTTTCTCTCTGAGTTTCACGTTGCTGTGTTGCTTTAGCTGATGCTTAAATTAGCCTAAGTAGAAATGTAGAACTGTTCGGTTGAAAACTTTTTGCTGGTCGCACAAAGTTTACAACGGACGACAATGTTCTTTGCATCTTAGACTGTGACACAGTAATGGCAATAACGTTACTTACAGCTGTTGAAAATACCTCTCTCTCCCTGTTCTCCAGTTGTCCTTTAGCTTCTTGGCTAACAGCTGACTTTAACAACATAAGGTCCGGTGCCGCTGAGCTGCAGCGCGGTCGCGCATTCACGTCAGGGATGGTGCGTTCAGTAGCGCAGCGTTACTTGGATTAGTAACTGTAATAATACAACTGTTTTGGAAATAATAGTAATCCGTTACATTACTCTTTACCGGGAAAAGTACTTTTGCAGTAGGCCTATTACTGCCCAACACGTTACGTACCACTGATGCGCGAGAGCGCCTGTGGTATACATTGCGCAGGTGTGGAATTGGCAGCTGAGCGTAAACGAACATCCTTGATACTTAGGCTGCGATCCGATCCACAGTGTGTAACAGTACTCCCTGCTCCCTTCTCAGGAAATGTTGGTTAAGGGAACTTCCCTCGATAAAATTCTTCCATTCGGAACACCCTGCAACATCATCAAAGCACACGTCAGTTCCGCCGTGTGTTACCCTGGTAATGTAAACACCTCGGATATCCGCTACTGAAATTAAATATTGAATATATGTTAAAACAAACTGATACAATTACAAAACTTATATTTCCATAACTTCTTCTATTTATATTCTATTAAAATATATGTAACTTGTGAATGAATGTGATTGGATTAATTTACAAGATACGCAGCGTCATTCTTAAAAAGATTCATATGAGCATTGTTGTTATTAGGTAACCTAACCTCTGAAATAATCATATAAATAACGATAACATTAGTTACAATGACAATAATTACAGATACAAACTCTGTGGTCTGCTCTATTGTTAGCTCCTATGAGGCGCAAAGGCTTATGGGTAATCTTTCTTGTCAACTTCCTGCGAACTGATGAACCGTTGTTCCCTTCTTCCCTACACAGTTCACAGTGCCCTTTGCAGTGAACATGTTGTGCTCCCTGCGGTTTGGATCTCACTTAAAATGGCCGAATACCCTGTGCAGTGCACTTAGCAGGGAACTACAGGGCGATCGGAACGCACCCTTAGAAAGGAAGAAAACTTTACACACGTCACCCTAGATCCTTTCCATTTAACTTGGCCAGGTCCTGTGACGTTACCAGCAGGCGCAGGCCCCCGAGCAGATATAACCACCCGAGCACATCTGGTACCTCCAACGGTGCTCATCTGCAATCAAAAAAGATTTTAAATAGGCCTAGTAAAATAAAATAAAAAAAATCAGTATGTGGCAGCCCGCCACAAATAAATGAACATATTGTTACTGCTGCAGTGGTCTGAGTAACTGGGACCAGGCTCTGTGGGCGTGACTGGCACCGCTAACCTCGCGGGCACTTGTGGAGCTTCTCAACCCCGAAAACGTTTGAGCACATTTTCGATTCGCCATCGACTTTGGTAAAACTGCCAATATTCAAATTCTACATAATTGATTTCTCGCCTCAAAACCGCTCAAACGTGTATTTAGCAATTAAATAGCGTACAAAACTTGTAAAAACGAAAGTCGTTCTGCTGTTCGCCTCTTTCTCCGTTACTTTCCGCTTCTCTCGTGAAAGCTTCTTCTTCGTGGGTTATCTTAAAGTCAAGCAGTCATGGCAGACAGTGGAAGCGATACTGCACCCAGCACTTCCTGTAGTGCATTGCAGTTAGAAGTAAACAACCAGAAATGTTCCTAATATGAAGATTGCTACCTCTCCTTTAAACAGCATCTATGTAATGATGCGTTGACAATGAAATTTCACGTCGGCGAATTTTTATAGCCGACGTGGTCGATTACGTCGACTAATTGTTGCAGCCCTAGTACAAGTACATAATAAAATTATTCAACAACAGTAATTCTTTACTTCCGTCCTTGATGTCCTATTTTCTAACATATCTGAAATCCATTTTTAATATAGTCTCTGCCTCTGCGAGGACGGTGCCACAACAGGAACTGAACCCATGAATTTAGCTTAGTAAGCATCGCACTGTGCCAACTGAGCCATACAAGACTACAGCTGAGCCACTGTTGTGTATGTGAATGGATTGGCAAAAAACACACACATTGGGAGAGAGAGAGAAGAAGAGAGTGATAGAGAGAGAGAGGTTAACCCGTCTCCTGTGGAGCCGCTGTTAATTTGACCAATTTGATTCAGTTGGCCAGGGCTGGAGATGGTGTGATTAAATCTACCCAGGTCACCAACGGGGGTGAAAGCAATTACTTTACAAAAAAATAGAGTGACGGGGGAGGGAGAAGGGACACCCTGCTTTTCTTCCTTCCTACCATCTTCTTCCCTCTATCCCACCAGGCCAGCCAGCAGACGCACTCTCTTTGCTCCACAGCCTCCTCTTTCTGTTTTTTTTATATTGCTGTAAATGATGGGTGGCCGTCGTTAAAGTGAGTGGGTCACCAAGGGCCAGTTTATCAAGGTCAGGGTGGAGGGTGGAACTGAGAGGAGCTTAGGACCGCAGACTCAACACAGCCACACACACACACACACACCGCTGCAGTCTTAAAGTGATCCCCTGGATGCTCTTCTTGTCCTCTGTCACACTCATTTTGCAACCTCCCATTACTTTTTTTATTTCCCCATCTCCTTCAGTTCTGCACTTTATTACAGTTAGTTCAGCTTTGACCAACGGGGATTTTAGGATCTTTGCTCTTATCATAAACATTTTTGATAATGGGCAATGTCACACCCTATCATTCCTTCACCTGATGATCATCTTTTTGTTTTCTTTAGCCAGACCCAACGAAGCGCCTTTGCTAATATTTGATTGGAAGTCGACAGCTGGATTTAATTGAGAGGCCTAAATGGCTTTCAGATAACGATGATGTTCTCAATTCCACTGCAGTTTTATGCAGATGAACACATTACTTTAATGGTCGGCGTTTACCGGGGGACGGAAGAAAGGATAGATGTAGAGAGACAGAAAGAGAGAGAGAGAGAGGAGGTCCCCCCGCCCCTCTCCTCTTTAAATTCACACACCCAGGCCAGATGGCTGTCTTTTCTTGCATGAGATTAGAAGATGTTTCTGATTCACGGTGTCGCTTTCTGGGTAAATTAATATTTCAGGCTAAACTATTTCTGTTTTGGTGGAGCACTGAGGTTGTGCGTGAGTGTGTGTGCTTTTTGAATAAAGCTCCTCCTCTCTGTTTGAGAGGGAAGGACAGATCTTGGTGACAGACTGCAGGTAAGGCGTAGGCAGGCAGCCGCTGCTTCGTGAGCGCATTTAGTCATTCCCGGAAAGCCACTGATGATAATTGACTACTCAAAGAAGCCATAATGAGTGATTATTAAGTAAAAAAAAACAAAAAAAACAAGCAGCCGCTGTAATTGCAACCATGATAAAGAGACATTGATTAACAAAAAGAACAATGATCTAAAAATTTGTAGCATAATGTTGAGCTTTTGATTAGTCCTGTGCACCGGTGAGTACACAGCTCAGGCACACAGCAGGCCTTATCTCTCTCTGTATGAAGGGCAGGAATGATAATAAACAAGGTAATTATCATTTTTCCATCCATAAATTAGCATCTGCTGGTTAAATAGTGGGGATTTCGACAGTACGTGGCACATGACCAGCTGGCTACAGTATCAGGCGTCAGTGTGGCTGGCAGGATTAGCCCTGCAGTGATTTTGTGTCACTTGTGGATCTCCCTAAACAAATCCTAAGGTGATCGCCCCTAGCAGTGAGCGATCGACGGAAACGTGTGCAGTGCATTAACCTCAATGGCACTGATGAATGCACACATGGTAATGTGTTGTTCCATGTAATGAATGCTGATGTACTGACCTTTGGCAGTGTTGTTGTTGTTGTTGTTGGTTGTGATGATGGCTTGTGTCTCTAAACCAGGGAAAGTGGGAGACGAGGACGTTGGTGTCAGATTATGTGTACGTGTGTGTGGCTGTGTGTGTTGTCCGTCCAGTGGCTGTTATTCATCACGTCCCACATCGAGATAATGATCAAATTGTCTCTACCTGTCATTGAAGCTCTCACATCTGTCTCTCTCTCTTTTTCTCCCTTCCTCTCTCTGCCTATCTCTATCCTTTCTCCTCCTTCCCCCCGATTCTATATCTCTTCCCACCTGTCTCCCTCCCCCCAGCTGTTGCCTTTTCTCCTCCTTTCCACTCGGCCTTTTTCTGCCTTTACTTTTTATTCCTGAGTTCCACTGACCTGAGCTCGACTCTCTTTTATCTCCTCGTCCTGTCAGATGGAACATCCTGGGCCTGCAGGGGGCGTTGCTGAGCCACTTTGTGGAGCCAGTGTACCTGCACAGCGTGACCGTCGGCAGCCTGCGCCACACGGGCCATCTGGGCAGAGTTCTGAACCAGCGGCTAGAGCGCCTGGGCCCACTGCCCGCCATGCACAGACGCAACCAGCCCCTGCTCAGCGGTATGACTTAGACACAGACAGTCAGACATGTCTCAGTGTGATTTAGATGAATTACATTTAGAAACACATCGACATTGGGAAGCCCTCATACCAGAAAGGGGTACATTCATTCACGAGTCCTTTTTATATAGCTGGTGCTGAAAGCTTCGTGACATATAATGAGAAACCTTTTTCTCTTTTTTGGTTACAATCTCCGTTTCCTCAAAGATCTGACCTGTCAAGATGGTGAAATGGTGCAAGTTAGTGCATCAAAGTTTACGGAAATTGAAAAGTGTCCAAAAGACCTACACATATCTACACATCTACTGATCACAGTGATTCCACTAAACAGATATACTGTTTAATATCATAAAATCAATCAATCATATGATCATTTGATCCATTGTTTGATCCATTGTTATTATATAAACAATGGTTATATGTAAGTCTTCTCAATTTCATATGAAGCTATATCTGTACAGTGGCTGAGATGTGCTGAACAAACTGCATATCCAAAGTACTGGAGGTTAGTCTAATCATCTGACTGACAAACGTAAGATAAATAATGTAATGTTACTGTATATCTAGCTTCATAATAGCCTAATGTTAGATGGCCGTGTACATATATATGAAAATATCAAGGTATTACACAGCATTGATCATTTGTGACAATCACAGAGTTAATCATAGCAAGCTTGCGTGCAACGTGTTCACTTCTCAAATGGGCAAGAACTTTCCTACTCAACGTGAAGGTAATAATAGTTGGCCCGTTTCATTGTCAGCATCCATTGTTGGTCACTTCCATTGTTATGTTGTGCCTTTTGAATTTGTTTTTTCCTCAATGCGTTTGTGTTTTCGTTTTTGCAAAGCAAAACCACCATAGTTCTGTGCTTTATGTTACATAGAAACAAGGAAGTGTTATTTAAATCTTTGAAAGTATGGTGGAAATACACCAGGAATAGACTGAGGCCTATCGGTAATTAAAAACACTGTTTAAATTCAGTAAACCAGGAATTTGCAGCTTAATTGACTGACCTGCTGGGATATTTTTTTAAGTTCTTTTTTTCTCCAGCTAAATGGCAAACTGTGCTTTCTATCTTCTACTTCTCTCACACGCTGCATTTAAACAGTTTATGCGCTTAATAAAAGTATCTCTGTATACAGTATCTATTTCCAGAGGTTCCTTTTAATAAATTTATGTCAGCTCCAGACCAAATTAATCGCAACAGATCACACATGTAACACCCACTCACACACCCACACACGCTTAACAAACTCATGTACCCCTGCGTCTCTACAGTTACATTGTGCCAGCCAGACAAGCAACAGCTAAGAAGTTGTCTGGCACGTCTGCCTCCGGGGCTCCACTGAGGCCTGAGGCTTTCGTTTGTAGTGAAGATGAATGCTGGAAGAGGATCTGAATGACACCCAACTTGTAGAAACTGCATCAACCATCACTTCAGATCTAGGCCAGCCAGAGTGGCTGAGCCAGAGAGACACACAGTGATGTAGGGCACATTTTGTTGCTAGGGATTATTGATAAGAACAAAGACGGCTACAATTACACACTAAGAACCACTTTTTAAAAAAAAAAAAATCCTCTCAAATGCAGACAATGGATAAACCTAAATCTGATACATTCTCCATGTCTTAAGGCCCATTTATACTCCTGCGTAGCCATGCATTTATACTTGTGCGTAGGTCTGTCCGTCATTCTGCAATTACACCCCCAAACATTTCGCTCGGGTTGCCACAGTCAGATATATTGATTCACTGTGTTACAGCCGCCGTTTTGGCCACTAGTAATGTTACTTTAAAGCGCGGGGTACTTCCGGTCAGCTCGGAGGCATTGCGAGGCTACCCAGCTGACCAATCACAGAGCCTACGGTCCGCGTCGACTTGACGTGTAGTTACATTTTTGAGGAGGTGCACGTAAGGCGACGGCGTAGCCCCAAAGCCTACACCGTCGATTTGACGCAGAAGTATAAATTGCACTTTACTCGTGCTTGTAGCAGGCTTCAAGTATACTTTTTGAAGGGCATTGGAGCTCTTTGCGTTGCAGGGCTCTGCTCCAGGTAATTGGGTGCCATGAGGATGAATATTTTGTGAGGCCTTTCCTGTATCAAGATTGATAATTGTACTGAATTGTCCTCTGGTGATGAATTGATCATTGAATCCTCCTAGGACGCCTCAGCAGGCATTTGTCATGATTTGTTCAATGGCTTTTTGAATGGAGTAATCTGACATGTCTGTAATGTAGTTTTTGGTTTTAGATTTTACAAGCTGCATGTTAATATTTAGAGAATTGATCCATGTGTTCATTATTCATACTCACTTATAATATTAGGTTATTCATTCTAACTATGATACACCTCACATAAGTACATAGTTGGTTTAATGACAATATAGGTTTTTCCCCACCTCAAGAATGATGCTGCAGAATGTCTTTGTGTTGACGAACGATGTAGACATGCCCTTTACCTTTAGACAGCATCTTTACTCAAAACAGAGATGGCCTCCTATGTCCCCTGCAAATGCTCTGCCCTCCCCTCTGACACGCTTCACAATGATGTGTGTTCTCTGTGTGTCCATGCGGGGGGAGGAAGATGGACAGACAGTGGAGATGGCCCTACACCAAATCGATATAATCACAGCCCTTATCAGGCACTCATTCAATCTGAAGGGAGCTTGGATAGAGAGAGAGAGAGAGAGAGAGAGAGAGAGAGAGAGAGAGACAGGCTGAGGGGAAGAGAGGGAGACAGCAAGGCAGGAAGGGAAGAAAGGAAAAAGAGAGCTTTGGTTGCATTCAGATGGCTGCGTGCGTACCCCACCCACCAACCTCCGCTCATCTCCTCCTCCATTCTTTCATTGGCTATTGTGTGTCCAGGGTTATTTAAAAGCAACACCCCCAGAGGAAATTCCTGGGGATCTCTCTTAGGGCCCGTTCTTATCGCACACAGCCAAAGCAGCTCCACCTGAACCCAGAGGGCCAAACACATTGATGGACTGACTTGTCCTTCACTCTCGTCCTGCTTTTTCACTCCCACCGCAGCGTGAACAGAAAGTGTGGTAGGGCTCTGTCGTTCTGGGATAAGAAGAATCAATACAACAGTAGATAAAATAAAAATATAATAATTTAACAATACTAATGGTTGTTATGGTTCACCACTTTTGGAGTTTTGCTGTTTTAAAATTTTATTTTATTTTCTATTTAACCTTTATTTAATCAGGCAAGTTAGTTATTAAAAATAAATTCCTATTTACAACTATGGCCGCGCTAGAAGAAGGGCGTGACACGTGGTAATAAAGGGGTATGAAAACAAGATAAACAGGGACAATCAGATTAATGAGACAACATATAAACAAAACAGAAACAAACTAGACCAGCAATGGGAAACAGAGCTGCAAAGGCAACACATCATCAAATAGAACAATAGTGGAAGCAGTATGGAACACAATTTAAAAAGTTATGAATGAATTAGAAAGATACAGGCCATAAGGAGTTTTAAAATTAAACACATAGCACAATTTGTTAAAAGGATTAGGTTGTAAAACAACTGCAGACATCTGAAAAAAAAATATCTATAAGAGATTTCCTGAAAGCAGATCTAGAGATGAAAGTGTCTAGTTTAAAAATCTTTTTGTCGGGCATTCCAGTCCATTGCTGCAGCATGTTGGAATGAGGAGCGGCCAAAGGCCTGGTTTGCCTTAGGAACTTTTAACAGTATATGGCAAGAGGAGCATGTGTTAAAGGAGGAGGACGATGTGTGTAATAAGCTTACAAGGTAAGGAGGGGCCTGCCCAAGGAGGGTTTTGTAGAATAAGCCAGTGTATTATATAATGTTGTGTGTAGTAGGGTGCCAATTATCAGAAGAATATACCATGCAGTGGTGGGTCTTATATAGGGCACTTATGGCAAATCTGACTGCAGAATGGTATAGAATGTCAAGCATTTCGAGAGCACTATTTAGAGGCTAATCTGTAAATGGTGTCACCATAATCTAGTAAAGGCAACACTGTTGCCTGGACAACTGTAAATCTAATGGCAGGAATGAAGGAGGAGTTGTGTCTATGCAGAAATCCCAGTTTAGATTTGACCTTTCCTTGCAATTATGTGGCGTAGCGTATAATGTTGATTGAGTACACATGCTTGTTTTACCGCGACACCCTGCTTTGTTCACATTTTCACAATTCATATTGAGACAGTAATTTTGTTCTGTGGTGTGAAATGCATATGCATGAGTTTAACATCAGAAGAGACTGCATTTGAGAGAGTTCATAGATTAACTTGAACATTGGTGGGTAAGTTACTTGATAAATCAAATACTCATGACATAATATAACTGATTGAAATTGTCAGACTGTCAAAGTAACGTACCACAAGGGACTACCTTTCAAATTGAACATATCTGGATGAGAGGGTGGAGCTGGGGAGGGATACGCATTGCTCCACCTGACAGGTCGCTGTGGTTGCAACTTGTCAGTCACAAGGTACCTACGCCCTAAAGCATACCCTGCTTTATTTTCCTCTTAATGGGACCATCCCTTACAAAATGAACAACGTGCTGTATTGAAGACTTGAAACTAGTGATTGAGACCATAACCCCATTAGCAAAGTGTTTGCTGAGATAATAAATCAAGTGAGAAGTACGGTCATTTTCTCACAGACTTCTATAAAACAGAAATGTTGTTTTGCAACCAGTGGAGTCGCCCCTGCTGGCCATTCAGACCCGGAGGTACCCACTTGGAGGTTGCTTTAAAATTTTTAATAAAGTGTTATGGTGTAATATTTATACACATCTCAAATTCAGCATGTATCAAGATTTCCAATCTAGTCTTATAAGGACTCACATAAAAAGGACAGGCAACCAGAACATGCATTTTGAAGAGAGCAAGCAATCAGTGAAAAGATGTTGGATGTTTTTGAGGTTGATTGTTTAAAGGGGACCTATTATGCTGCATTTCCAGCCCTATATTGTAGTTCTGTGACTCCTGTATGGTGGCTTTGCATGATTCAAAGTTCAAAAAAGTATTTTCTATCTTATACTGGCTCTTCATGCTGGCCCTCATTTCAGCATCTGTCTGAAACAAGCTGTTTATGCTTCTGTTTATTTGAGACCCCCCACTCCAGAGCCCATTGTCTTCTGATTGGCCATTGTCTAATGTGTTTACTAGGTTGCTGCAGGGATAGGTCTGCATGTTCCTTTGTGGGCGAGGCCAGCTGGGGGATGTCTGAGGTTTTGGCTCACAGGGATTTCTTTTTAATACTTTTAACTCATCATTTGAAACTTTGGTCATCTTTAATATGATCATCTGACACAGAAATGCTAGAAAATATGAAAAAGCATAATAGATCCCCTTTAAAGTATTGATTGGCCTATGTCAGAGAGCTGCACACTTGAAAGAAGCTCCAAATGTATATTGTTTGTGTAACTCAAGCAGTTGGGGGTAAAGTGTTGTTGAATGTGAATAGAGATCACTCACCAAGTGTTTCAAGGATTCCAAACAGCAACCTTTCAGTCATATCCCCCTTTCTCATTACAACATTACCTAGACATTGAAGAAGTTCGTCTTTTCACATAGGCCTACCTGTTGCTTCACTACTCCTCCTCTGCTGCTCCACCCCCCAGAGGAACACTTTGATGCAATGTATACACATACACAAACAAGCTATCCTGTATTGTGGCTCTACAGCAGCCTCAGATATTAAGCCGCGGGTATGTGTACTGTAGAGTTCTGAATCCCATAACCAAAGGCTCTAATTCTGCCTCTTTCATGTCTGCAAAACACTTCCCAGCAGAGAAATTGATCAAGTCTTCAATGAGGGAAAAATCAAATTGCCTATTACAGAAACAGAGGAGTCAAATCCATTGAAGGGATGAAATGAGCCATGAATGGAGCGAGAGAAAGGAAAAAGGCAGGATGGATAGGAGGGTCTTTTGTTCAAAGAGGTGCGTCTCCACAAGAGAGAAGAGATGGGTAATAAGAGACTTGGAGGATTGTTACTGTGGCAGGCCATTCATTCCAGCTCCAAGGAGCTACAGAAAAGAGGAGCTGCGATTGGTGAATGGAAGAGTGAAGACAGGAAAATGAGTGTGGCAAGGAGGGAGATGATCTGCAGGCATGTATTGTGGTATTGTACATCAGGTATTGTACTATAACAAGCTTTCTGTCAGACGGTGAGATCAGAGGCAACTGTTGTTCACCCATCGTCCAGAATCTGTCTGAAGGTACCTTTAACATTGCTTGATATAATAAATACTGGGTTGGAAGTCGAGTGATTCCTTTCTGAAGACAGTTTGAAAGATTTAGTGTGGCTATAATGTCCTCGCAGCACTTATTTTGCGAGCTTAGATTCTACATGTGAAGTATGTCTCTTGTGACACATTTTGCACCCAAAATGTCCTCCTTTGTAGTATTGTCAGTAAGTTAGTTAAAAAGGACACCTGTGACAAAACACAATGCAACATATTATACTGCAATTCATAGTAAACATTTTACATGTCAACTTCGATAATGTTCAGAGGAACAGGTTACATTATGTTTCGGTCTATTTCTATTTAGTGAGCTTAAGGCATGTTTTGTTATCTTTGGACAGAGCTTAGCTAGCTGTTTGTTTCGGTGCGCACCTTATATTATTATAAGCGCAGCACTCCTGCACATGCGCATACTTCTCTATACTCAGCGCCTTGAACTCCTATGTCAGTCACATCTGGGTTAATATGTATTTTCTCAAAAACACACATAGGTGTCACAACAAGCATCAAACATATGCCTATGCTGTATGTAACATCTCCTTTCCTTCAGCTGTTACATGATTAACATGTGGGCTTTAGCTTCTCTCAATAGCATGCATTTGTTTTATATCTTTTGTTTGTTAATTTGTTAAATGTTAATTTTTTCACAACACTACACCCAAGTCACAAGTTCAGACATTATGGTGGCCATGACAGGCTGCCACTACGCGAGTAGACGTTATGGCCAGATGTACATAAAGATTTACCTGTGTCAAGCACTATCCATGTGAAGAGGTTCCCCTTTTTCTTGCTACGCAGTGACTTAGGCTGTCTCTCCAGTGACGTGACCCTGGTCAGGATTGAGCTTCTCTGGCATTCCCAACTGAGGTGTTTGGGTTGAGCGCTCTTTGTAAAGTGTGCAGTCAACATCCACCATGTTGCAGTTTCGCTTTCCATTCAACTTTGGATGTCGGGGTGAGGATGTGACATGTCCAAATCCTCAGCTCGCTGCAAACCTCCTGAATGGTTCACAAGCAAATTGTGGGCCATTGTCAGTGGTCACTCTGTCTATACTGTGCAAACTGGGCTTTGCAGCATGTGATGATCTGGCTGGTGGTCGATTTCCCAGTAGTCCGAGTAATGGTCTACAAGGATGAGAAGGTCTTTTGCAGCAGATGAACAGATACCCATGTTCACCATCATATATTCTTTATGCTGGGCTCATGCGTGATCATTGCAATCGGAGAAGTTCACCCCAAAGTCTGTTATCGCCGCCTTCATATTTGGCCAGAAAAGTGCATCCCTGGCTCGTCTTTAACATGCCTCCTTGCCGGCATGACTAATGGGCATGCGTGTGAGCAGTTGAGCTCTTGGCCTTCAGAATAATGACGCACTGCCCCTCTATACAGCACTCCGTTTTGAACATTGCTCTTATCTGTAAAGGGCCAGTATTCCAACACTGCCAATGGGATATCCTCCTTGAAATCAGGCCACCCACCAAGGATTTCAGTGCTTGAAGTACACCGTCCATTTTAGAGTGCTGCATAATATGGCAGAATCTGAAGGCTTCAACATCCAGGTGCTGTGCTTGGTCCAGCTTTGAGTCTGGGTGCTATCCATGATACACACAACATGTTACATGCTTGGGATGTCATGGTGTAGTCCTGCCTAAATTGTAACTGGCACACATTTTGGACCCTGGCATGTACACAACGTTGAGATTGCAACAGGACCTGGAGACGTTTTGGGGCACTCAGGAGTGGTTTTTTGAAGATAGTGATTAATGGTTTGTTGTCCTTTCCTGCAGTGACTGCTTCACTGCCATTTAAGTATCTATGGCAGGTGAAAACTATACTCAAGCACTCTTTCTCTATTTGGGTGTAGTTGTGGTCAGTCTGTGTCAGTGCTCTCGAGGCAAAAGCCATGGGCTGCCCCCGCTGCAGCAAGCAGCACCCCAGTCCAGTCCCGTGGCTCTGGATTATAGCAGGCATTGTGATGTCGTAATATTTGAGAGCGTGTCTGCTACAGACCATCTGCTTAATGCCACGCACTGCATCATCATGTTTGGTCAACTAATCCCATTCAGTGTCCTTATCCAGGAGCCTATGGAGTGGCTTACATGTCTCAGAGTGCTTTCGCAGAAATTTTGCAAGGTATGTTAAGAACCGGATGAAGCATTGCACAGCTTTCACATCCATGGGTGTTGGCATGTCCAACACAGCTCAAGTTTTCTCTAGGTCGATTTTCAGTCCTCCAGAGGACAGTATGACCATGAGCTTGAACTGCAGCCTGCATTCGCATTATGAGAGTGCGCAAGTAGTTGCTGTGTTGTCGGTCAGGCCCAATAGTAGTATGTTCTGGTAGATTTTAGACGCAACGGAGACCATGAACAGGAGTTTGAGCCACCTCATTCGGCCCCACATTGTCCAGAAAGTCATCAGATGTCTACTGACGTGGTAGAGCTTACACTTTAGAAAGGCATCACGAGCATCCACTGACGTCCAAATTTGACTCCTGGCCAGCTTATACAGCACGTCTTCCAGCATCAGCATTATGGTAGTGTTCTCGATGCAGACACCTAATGCTCTACATGGACCCTAATGTGACTGCTACTCACCTCCACTTCTACCTTTGTCTCTCTTTCCTTGACCGTACACTTTGTGTTTGCTAGCAAGGCTAATTATTTCAAAGAGAGGAGGTCGAGAGGGCGGGACAGAGAGACAATCAAAACAGTCTAGTGTAGGGGAGGATTCATCTTTGTGACTGGAGGTAATATTTACAGCATACACACCATAGCTGGCATCACTCAAACACTGTTAACCGGAGGAACTCAAGAGCAGACAAGCACTCACACAAAGGCAGCAACACGTTGCTTATATGCTCAATAGCCCTCCCGTTCCCCCCTCCCTCCCTCCCTCCCTCCCTCACCCTCTGAGGTATATAGAGCTTCATATAAACATCCATGCGGTTTCAGGCCCAGGTTGACTTAGCTTTTTACAGTGCTGCAAAACTTTATGTCTGCCATTAGCCTCAGGGAGAGAGTAAGTAAAGAGTGAAGGAAGGTTAAACAAAACAACAAAGTGGAGGTTTGCAGAGGAAAATTGAAAATTTCCACACAGTCTGGGATTTACTCACAAGTTCATTATAGTTTGATATACTTTTATGAAATGTTTTTTTTTACACAGTGAAAATAATTTCAATCACCTATGTGGGAAAACCACCAGAATTAGGTTAAACCCACCTAAGGTCCTTCTCTGTTGTCCTCCCTTTAGGGCTGAGCAATGCCGAGTATCAGCAGCCTGGGAAGGCCTCGTGTGTGAGTGTTAACTGGACGCTGGGTGATGCACAGTTGGAGGTGGTCAACACAGCCACCGGACGGAGACGGGACTCAGGGACACCCTCGCGTCTCTGCAAGCACACCCTGTTCACCCGCTGGAACAGACTGTACCGCAAGGTGAGGGCAAACATCCACAGGGAAGGTAAAGCCAGGGCACAATGGGCTCAGTTAAATTTATTAATGGGGAGAGAGAATCAATGAGAGAAACGCTTATGGTCAGTGGCTGAATTGTATTTGTAGGATGTGAAATAAAGGTACAGTGTTAGGTGACTTGGATGAGCATTAAACTCTACTGCATTAGAAAATATCTGGTTCTCTGATGAAAACGTTAAAGTTATTAGACTGAATGCAAGAAAAGCTCACAAGCTTAATTTAGCTAAGAAACATGCAATCATTAGTTTAAAATTCTGTTGTGTGCATGAACTAAAGCAATATTTTGCTTTGTGGAAATATTCAGCAATTTGAATTAGTTCACTTTCAGACTCGGGGTCAGGTTTGGATGAATTTAGCAACTGTGATGTGGTGTTTTGTTCCCACTTGCAACAAGGGAGAATTCTGAATTTGCTACAGCTCTGATTTATGGCTTTGACTGACTTCCTCTCCATTGGAATGGTGACTGAGGCTCATGGGTATTGCAGTATTTAGAGCCATCTGTCATACTAAACTCATAAGATTTCTCAGAAACAAGTTTTTTTGTTTGTTTTGGGGGTAAATTCTTGCCTAGGACATGAGGGTGAGAAAGATGAAAAAATAGTCCCAGGCTGTCGGCAAACCAGGGATGTTGTGGCTCATTGTCAGTGTCTTAACCCCTAAACTATGGAGGCGCCCCAGAGATGAAGTTGAGATAATTAAAACTGATGGCCATAACACAGTGTGAAATTATCTAGGTGACTCCTGCGTTTCTGTGTTGAGGAACATTTGGGATACCATTACAGAAATGGGAATTTCCAGTGGTAAAAACACTGAACCAGTGGCTCCTCTCACTCTGTAGGGCTTATCTCACTAGACATTCTGGATGTTGATTTATTGTAGAAAAGGCACAGGTGTAACATTAATGATACTAGCATGCACAACTACATGGAATACAGCCATTATTAGTATTGATAATACACACACGCACACTGTGCTGTGCTTGTTATTACATGTGGAGGTATCTGTGGAAAAACTCCCACTGATTTAAATGTTAATTAAAAATCACCCTGCACATTGTATTTTTAACTTGCTGGGAAAATATTCCTATGTACTATTTAATTAATATGGGTCTAAACAATAGTCACATTTTCATATGAATAAAAGTCTGCTTCACCACTCTGCTCTACTTGCACTCCATGTAAATGCTCCTGTTGTCAAAAACACTGCAATCCTTCGCCATCACAAATCACATGCGAGCAGTAATAGAGAAACATTAACTACAGAGATGCATGCCAACATCCACTCAGTCATAAAGCACAGACACATGTATTAAAATCTGTGTCACAGAGCAGTCTGGCTGCAGGTGAACACTCTGTGGAGGATATGTGGAATGTCCTTTCTGCTGTAGATAAATTTGTCGGCCCGGCAACATCTGCTGTCTATGCGGCTTATCAAAAACTGGCAGCTCGGATCTTTAACGTCAGCACACAGAGCCGCTGCACTTTCATTTCCATTCTGAAACTTTATGTAACAGACACTGCCTGCATCGCCAAATGGCGGCCGTTAAAGCATAATGACTATGAAACCATAATTATTTGGAGGAGTACTCGAGGAGGCCCCCAGCCTAAGTGCTCCCTGCGCGCCGTATAGAAGGGCCACGCAAGAGCAGTCGCACTAATCTCCAAAAGAAACTTTTACTCTCTCCCTCTCTCTCACCCACTTGTCTCTCCGCCGATCTTCATTGTTTCCCCTCGCGACAATAGGAATGCGCAAAAAGCACAGAGAATGTTCAATTGCTTGTGAAATTTAAATGGGGAGATTACACAGCTGTTGAAGCCCCCCACAAACCCACCTCCTCCCAACCCCACCCAAATGCATTTGTGCCGGCTCATTCGTTTTGTTTGGTCGCTCTTCTTCTTCTCTCTCTCTCTCCCCCCTCACGACACCTTTAGCCTCTCTGCCCTGGCTTTATTCCTCTCTCTTTGTTTTCCCTTCCTATCTTCATGTCTGTCTCCGTGTCGCTTTTATCTGACTCCAGATTGCTCTCTCTCTCTCTCTCTCTCTCTTTCCTCTCCCCTTTCTCTCCCCTTTCTCTCTTGCTCACTCGCCCTCTTCAGTTGGGGATCCGCGTGTCCGGCTCAGTGGACCGCCAGCTCATGTACTGCGAGGCCAAGATGGCGGCACATCCTTACCAGACAGTGAAACAGCAGTGGCTCAGATCTCTGCAGGAAACGGGCCTCGGTACCTGGGTCAAGAAACCGCCCGAGCAGGAACAGTTCCTGTTGTCGGTCTGAGGAAGAGTGTGTGTGTGTGTGTGTGTGTGTGTGTGATAGGGAGTGTGTGTGTTTGTTTAACCTTTATTTTTTTAGGATAAGATGATCCCATGCTCTTTAACAACACTCTGCTTCACACCTTCATACCTGAAGTCTCCCAGTGCAACCTCTAAACTCAAGGCACATCCGCGTGTACGTGTGTCATTCTGGATGTACCGCCCATCCACCCAATAGACAAACGACAAGAGGAAGGTCAACTGGACAGGCTGAAAAGAAAACGGACATAAAAAGGTGGACCCTTTCTTTGACTTGCCCTTCTTTAAACACACAAACACACACACATTTAAGCAAACACACACCTAAATACCCCCTTCTTCTGCTGTCAAGGAAGGTTGGGGTAACCTTGAGCAGAATGAAAGGCAGCCGCTATCTTGTCATCAGCTATTTCCGGGCCCCAAGGCTCCCGCTGAGGAGCAGAGCCACGGGGGAGAGAGCGAGAGAGAGAGAGAGCGAGAGAGAGAGTGGTCCACGTCCAATTACCGGCCCTGTCAGGGTGACGGGTGATAGAGGAAGAGGAAGGGAAGCAATGGGAAGAGAGTGAGAGAATAAAGAGAAGGACAGACCATAGCTTCAAACCAGCCCACCTCACCTTCCTTCTCTCATTTCTATCTTTGTCCTCCTTCTCTGACTCACCCTTTAACTCCTGTCATTTTCTTCTCCTTTTGTCTCCATCTCTCCTTCCTTTCCCTCTTTCCATTTTCTTCCTTCCTCCGCCTTTTTACCTCGCCTCTTCTTTGTCACTCTCTCCTCTTTGCTTGCATCTGCCCCCCACTCCCTCCCCGCCTTTCAAGCACTGCGGAGGTTAACACGACACAACGACAGGTTAATACACCCTCTTTTTTTTCCTCCCTTCCTCACCTCACTGGGTAGAGCGAAGGAGAAGAATCGAGGTTAGGTACATAAACGCAGCCATTACAGATCGCCTAAGTACAAGTGGAGGTGATGATGGAGGAAAGGGGAGTGGTTACCCGTTTTTCCCCTCTCTTTCATACTACAATTATTTCCATTGTTTTTTGACCCGGATGACCTCAGTTTTCAGCCCGGTGTGCCCAGTTTCCGTACATTGAAGCTTGTCACCAACAAGAGTGATTTTCAGTCGTGACTCATTAGCGAGGCCTCGTTGACCTGATAGACGCTTTATTCCTGTGGTCATGACCGCCCTGAACAGATCAACAGTCAAAGTGGCGAATAGTTTTCCAAGCCCACACCCCCTCACTGTCAGCACTGTGGTCAACTTGAGGGATTTTTATTTTTAATCCCCATTTTTCGACAGACTCAAACACACAACCTTTATGTACGAATTAAAGATGAAAAATCAGCAAGGTAAATATGGACATCTCAAACACTACCATGTAGATTTGTACCTCACAGTTTTTTATGTCTTTGCATATTTCATGATGTAAACATATGATTTTTTTTATGCAGCTAAGTGTTGATATTCATTATGATCATGACTGTGTTGTTCCGTCATTGCTGTATTTTCCTCAAGAATTTTAGATGAGGCATCCAAACCGCTACCAGCACGGCTCAGTCAGCAGTAAAATCTAAGTAGTGAGAGTGACATCTAGTGGTGTTTTTCTGTTGTTGTTTTCCCATCCCGCTCCTACTGAGCCCCTCTTCTGGCAGCATAATGTGTCTCCAGTGAGGATACAGTATCAAATCAAATCGCTGACCGTGTGGCTGACTGAACTGTAGAGTATGACCTTCAGCGGTGATCAGTGTGAAAATGTTCTGATACGCAGGCAGATTTACACAAGAGACAACTTGACCCTCATTGGACCTGCATCTGGCCTCACATTCACTAGGCAAATTCTTACTAATGTAAATGTAATCTTTTGGATTTTTTTAAGATTTGTAAACCTTGAAAACTTGGTTTCAAATCTTAACTATTTCTTTATAGCATTAAATACGCATGACTTAATAAGCAAAAGTTAATTCTTATTATCATTCTTAGTGATTAGTTATCAAGAGTCTAACACCCAAAATTTCAGTTCTGATTCAAACCCTGGGACACTGCCATTTTCTAAATGAAGCCCCACTACTTTGAAACCAGTGAGAAGAGTACAGAGAAAAACTAAAATATAGAAAACTCTCCAAAATAACCAAAACTGTTACCTAACTTAGGCAGGAAATATTTTGTTCCTGTAAGACGTCATTACTCATGGTAAGAAGCTGATTAAAAACTCAAATGATAAAATAATATTTTTGCCGGTAGCAAACTGTTTGTCTTTCAAAGCTGACAGTACTTAAAAGTTTCATTGGAGTTTTTATGTCCTGTGATGGTCTGCGTGCCATTTTAAAGGATTTTCCCTCGTGGCAAGAGTAAAATTCTGGCAACATGTGTACATATTGGTACAGTATATTATGTGCTAGTGACATAGCTGGATTAACCTTTTACAGGGCACCTATTAACCACCCCCACATCCCGCCACCTATACATGAGCAGCTTTATTATGCACCCAGAGACCGACTAGTACTTACATGTTGGAATCATTTCTGGCCCCAGATTGTGTGTCAGTTAGTTTTTGGTAATCTTACTAAACACAACACTATTTTGACAATGTCCCATGCAGACACAGTATAATACATGTGCAGTTCATCCATTTACAAAAACCAAGTGACTAAGCTGAGAGTTCGGGGCCTAGTTGGTAATCCAGCCTTGGCCAGTGGCAGCTTTAAAAAAAACAAACAAAAAAAACAACTGTGGCTCTCAGGATCTCAGATTCTTTGTTTACACCTTAACCAAATGGAAATCCTGAATCTGTTTTCCCATAGCGGCAATAATCACATTTTGTGTAGATCGCGTCAGTGTGTATCAGAACAGGGAGTGTTTGTCTTTCATCTACATGTGGGGCAGCTGTTTACTGTATCAGCCTACACTACATACAACACAGGTAACAACATTCCTCCTTGCCTCACACCGTGTTTCACAATTAGCCATGACAAAAGATTTGCAGATTTATTTTGAGAGATAATAAATATAAGGCATGTCTGAATGGCAATATTGTATCTAAGACTGTACATATGTAAAAGAAAAATGTACAAAAAAGATGTTGACAGAGATGTGAGCAAGATCCTAAAATGTCTAATGATGTAAATTAAAGTATATAAAGAAATGCTGCTAAGGTCTGTAAATTGCACTTCAGTAACAAATAAGTGAATGTTTGTACTGTATATGTGAATAAAACCACAAAATCTTGTAATTTTACCTCGTTTTGATAGTTTTTGAATCTTCAGATTTTGACGTCAATTAGTAATGAACATTAAATGTATAATATGTCATCTGTATCCTACCAAATACACAAAAATCAAACAATGAGCACTGATATTGGGCCATTTCCACTTTGTCGGCTTCATGATCACCTTTCTTTCACTGCTGGCCCTCAGGAGCATCCAGACATATATTAAAGAGGCCTCCCTCGTCCTGTCTCTCCCGGGGGAAATCCATGGGGAAATGGTTATCTCTGTTAGGCTCGGTGGCAGGTGTCATACAGACCAGCCGCCAAATTAGCCTGGAGGCAGAATGAAGCGAGGAAGAAGAGAAGAGGTGCGTGCATCGGGGTATGCCTCCTCAGCAGCATCCACTCATCCCCCTAAGGCTATAGAGTCGACTGTGCTCTACAATAAACATCATAATTGACAATTTGTTCCAGTGGCTGGTCACGGCCAGACAGCTATAATCTAATGGACAAGGACTGAGAGGTAAAACTCCACAGAATATTCTGTCTCCCAGTGTCATGTGATTTCTCAGTGATATCTAAGAGCCGTAACACACTTTTTCAAAACATAGACGTAGCCCAACAACAGTACTTGTCTTTGGTCCATCAAGACATTTTGAAAATGATGTAAAAATGCCCCAACTGTCCTCAGGGTGCAAAAGACTGTTAACATTGCAGAAGTGGTGGAAAATACATTTACTTAAGGACTGTACTTGTAACCTGCCACGTAGAATGTTTGTCTCCCCCTCTGACAATATGAGTGTAATTACACAACCCTGTTGACACCTGCTTCTGATGTGCAGGCTTTGCCATACTGAGTTTCTGCTGTTGCCACAGTTGCTCCCCCCTTCAGCTCCGGCAAACCAATCATTGCTGGTAAAATATATCACTACTGGTTTGCCAGCAAGGGAATGTCGCCACACCATACTTAAAAACTCCAGTATACTGTAAAGAGAGATTTATATGGCGGGGAGAGGTATAATCAGCATTGTGTGAACTCGTTTTGGCAAGGGCTTGAACGTAACGGACATTTATTTAAATTTAAAAGTCCTGCACTCCAGCTGTAAGTACAAATATGATATAATGGTCCTTTATTTGAGTGTTTCCAGTTTGTCCTTTAAATGTCTACTTCACTACATTTAAGAGGGAAATATAATTTTCACTCCACTGCACTATTTGACAACTAGTTATTAGTTAAATCCAGACTAAAATTTTTACATTCAAAACATAAGAGGTGCTTGTGAAAAATGGTTCCTTTTGGCAAAAAAGCAGAGTGTAGTTGGGATTCCTTGTCATGTTGCAGTTGCCTGAGTTGTTAGAAGTTTACTTCGAGACTCTGTTTATAGTAACTTCAAAGGCCAGTGGATCTGAGGTTAGATATTGACAATCGACACATCAGATCCAAACCCAGAAAATAAATGTCTTCCAGGAAAAAGCTTCATGTCACAGCAGAAGTATAGATGAATATAATAAAGTGAATGACTTGTCAGTCCATTTAACTGCTATCAGGGTCCTGGTATTGTGCATGACTTCCTGTGACACTTGAATAGAACAATGCCATTGTTAATGTTATTAATAACACCTGTGCATTTCCCACTATGTGAAGACAAAATGATAAAACCTGCCCTCCTTAATTTAACCCACTTCAATGTGGATTGCGTCACCAAATGTTAGAGAGCATACCGTATGTGTAAGAAATAACACTTTACATACCTACCATATGTAACAGTGTGGCTGTCACATGGCTTCCTTTAAGCTGGAGGACTACTTGGCAACAAACCTTTACACAAACTAAAAATATTAAGTGTCATAGCAGCGATGGTAAAATTAATTAAGTCCCTGTTTGCACTCAACAAATATTCATACACTTTATGGTTCACCTCTCATTAACACTATATGTCATTATATCCCAAGCTACTGGATTTATATCCAGATGAATAAAGTGTGATGTTCAAAATGATACATATCTTACTGAACTGAATAAAAGCATGAGAGGGGTATGTGTTAAATAAGGTGGAACAGAGACACGCAAGACTGGAAAAGGAAATCACACATTTTTATTGGAAAGTGTCAGCGAGCACGTACCCGTCACAATAAAGTATGCAAAGTAGATCACATAACGAAGTTTGAAGTGAATATGATTTGCAACAATGAAGTGAAGCCTGTCCACTTTTTTTACCCCTCCAATCTGGCACGCAATAATTTAATGTATCAATCCAAAATCATATTTCCTCCGAGTTAGAATTCATATGTGGGGCGCAAATCGGACTTGCCTTTCTACCTGCAGATCAAAGTGACATTGATATCAGTGGGCGTGAGATTGAGTTCCCTGAGTGAAACAGGAATAAAAATCCTATCTGCACTGTGCAGTGGAACACAATTAGTTATTTAACAAGCATTTGGAAAAGTGCACTGATGCTCAGATGGATACGGCTAATGCACCATTTTAAATGCAATGGTAAGGCATTTCAATAGGTTTTTTATATTTTTAGGCTCACGCTACTTCTAAATCCATCTCGACTCTATTGTTGGCGGAAAGAGCAGTAAAGTGTGTATTCTGAGGCCAATGTTTGGGTAAGTAATGCATACCTATGTACACTGAGCTACATCTACACCAGTCACACAAGTAAAATCATTTTATGGGATTTACAGCACTGAAATAAGTTAAAACATCTGAAGATGAGAAAAACTACAGCCTGACTTCATGTTCAGGATATTGCACAAGTGTAACAAATAGAGTGTCCTGGATTCAGGTCAAGCCCAATTCTAGTTATAATTCTCAAACTGAGATTCAGTGTGTACTTCAAGCCATGTTCACTGATTTCCGAGACAGAAATCGGCTTCGCAGGAAGCATAGAGGAGCTGGGTTATTGCTTCTGTATTTGGATAAAGATTGCCTTTCAGAGACTGAAAAGCGCCATCTACAACAAAAAGGTGCAAGAGGTCATACAGTACAAGGCTAAGGTTCAATGCAAAGTGTAAACACTATAACTTCGTATTGACAGGCTGTTACTGAAGCACAGAAATGACCAGTAACCAACAAGTTCACTTAGGGACGACACAGTACAGCAACACAGGGTTCTGAGTTAGCAACAGGGTGAAGAGGATGGGTCTGAATTTCACTGACACCAAGAAAATATGGGTGCATATTATGGCCAAAAGTAGTGACACCTAAACCTGCAACATATAGGAAATACTAGATTATGATAATGTGGACACGTTGCATTGTTAACAACAGAAGTGCTGTCATTTTCCCATTATTGCTATTCTCTTGATAGAGAGGCAGAACAGAGCAATACTTTTTAAAATGAAAAGCCTTCTGTAAACATGGAACAAGGCAGAGTTACAGTATCATAAGTTTGACATGTTGACAACAAAATGTGGAACTGTGGACGCTGGCCGTGAACCGAAAGCATCAAAATGTAATGTAATAGGCAAAGACGCAAACCTGCAGCAGATCCTGTTTGAAACATTTGAAAGACAACTGAATGACCCAGCAGCCTGCATGCTGCACAGGTAATCTGGCAGGCCTCAATATGATATGTTTTGTTCCATGATGAGAAATATTATATCTCTATAAGTAGACTAAAAGAATAAAAAACATTTCACAGAACCACATTATCGCCGCAAGACACTTAATCTGTAAGACACTTAATCCATGAACAAGCAACAACCTGCAACACAGGTCACTTATTTAGGCCACAACATTATATATACATAACCTATTTATATCCTATACTACAAACTCTCCTGGCCTTCTATTTGTTCTCTCACACCTTTACAAGTAACATTCGCACACCGGGTTTATCGACATGCAAGAGCAACCGTTCGGCAGTAACTAAACAACAGTGATGTGAAGAGCAGCCTATGACTGAGGAGTCACACATATTACTTTAAAACTTTAAAAACAGAAAAGGCTGGGAATGACACGATCAGCCTAGCCACGTCACAATTCACAATGCATGCTAACTGAAAGGGTGAAACACAGGAGATCAGCTCTGTGGCCTCGTACACACTATACACTTTAAAAATGTTGGAGCCATGTCGGCTCACTTAACAGCAGAAGATGTTTCAAGGTTTCTGCTGTGGGTGTACACAACAAATGACAGAGTTACATACATCTGGGGAATATGCTCTTGCTAATTAATGTTAATAGCTGCAGCACGAATTGTAATAATGAACAATGTTTTTCACACATTCCAGCAGCTGGAAATCAGTGAAATACATGACAACTAAAATGCTTCACAGGTTGAACACTTCAAACATTTTAGCATGTGCGAGGACACAGATTGCAGTGTTTATGTGTACCGTCTCCTACGTTACTGTGTGTTTCTGCTGTGTGTGCATGTCAGTGGCGTCACTTCTCCTGCAGCAGGGCCGGGATGTTGATGTTCCAGCCGATGGCCTGTCGGTCGAAGCCGCAGGTGAACAGGTTGCACGACTGGTTCTCTTCATTCCACGCCGTACAACACACCATTCGCCTGTGACCCTGCGCACACACACACACACACAAAATTCCTGTTTGATGCTGATTAACTTGAGAAAAACACGTCTTCCTGTCCACTTTGTTTACGTCCTTACCATTCTGTTGCTGCGTGGAAGTCTGGCCAGCCTCACTCCACTCATATCAAACAGTCGGACTTGTCGATTGTCGTGTGGCAGAGCGATGATCTTCTGGTTGGCAGAGACGCTTATCCTGAAAGATCAGATCGAGTTCATTTGCTAATGAAGGGTAAACTCTCTGAAGATCTCCAGTACACATGCAGTCTTGACTTTTATTCTACAGCATGTCACATTTTGGTTGATTTGATAACAGAAGTTACTTTCTAGTTTGCAGTCCATATGCAGGAGTTCTGGGCAATTTGCTGCTAAATAGGAGAAGGGCCTTTTACATTTCTGCACCTGGGGGACCACTGTCTCATGATTCATCCATGATTGTGACATGTGATGCTGTTCAATCATCACACTCTAATGAAACACAGCAATATAACATATTCATGCATACTCATGTGGAATCCAATTAATTTATACCGTTAACAAACACTGAAGTGTGTATCAATTTTGCAACCAATCAATCTGCATCATATACAGGTTTTTCACTGATGGATTGCACTGATCAACTGATACATTATGTATAACAACAATATTGCCTCAGTGTCATTCAAATTTGTTCTTAAGTTTCTGCAATGAAAATCTTTGTCTACAGAGAATTAAAACAGCTTGTAGCGATAAATGCACCCACAAGGCCTGGCTGTCATCCAGTTACACCAACCTGTTTACAGCGGAGTCAGTGCGGATGGTTGCTATAGGCGACCTCATGTTCTTCAAATCCCACACCTTGACGGTGCGGTCGTCACTCCCTGAAACCACATTGTCACCCACCGTGAACACTGCTGACGTCACCGTGCTGCAAAAGATGGACACAAAAAGACACCAGTTGGGTTACAAAGACATGTTATATTGGATCACTTTTCAGAGATTCACACTGTACTCTACAATCCTATTCAAGTGCAGTGAAAAGAGTTGACAGAAGTACAGTTCCAGCTTTAACAATTCAGGGAAAGGACAAACATTGCGGGAGTTGATGCTTATTTATAGCCAGTCTAGTCATCCTCTCCCACAGACGCTTTAATTACTCATACACCTGAAACATGATACACCACAGATACACATGTGTCACAGTGATGGTGTCAAGATACGTTATGAGCACTGACACCACTTGAACCTCAAGGGGGTGTGTCATATTTCAGAAAGTTAACATAGTGTCGCTCCTGGTTTACCAGGTGATTCTCAATTTTAAAACATTACAAGGTGACACCCTTCCACTATTTTCCCACTCAGGATCACACTCACACGCTGAATTCCTGTCACACAGGTGTAGCTGTCGCAAAACGACTTGATCGGTTAAAGAATGACCTAAAAAGCCTCAACACCATTGAATGCATTGGAGCTGTCAAGACGCCGCGAAAGACAGCTTACTTATACTTTTACAGTGAGTGTAACTGGCACTTTAAGCTTACTATTTAAACTCCATCCATTACTTTTAGCTAACTATTTCAAGATTTCAAGTCTTTTCACATGCTACCTAGTTTTCACACATTCTCATTTGCTGCACATGGTGTTGATGTGTTACAACTGACTCAGGTTGATGACATAGATAGGACCTTTAAGATATGAACGGATCCACATATGATGAGTGTAAATGCTTTATGGTATAACACCCTACAAGAGGTCTTAACAGTAAATTATATCCCATGTACTGCTTCCCACAGTAAGACTCACATATTTCTGGCGCTTTTGCTGCCTGTTAATTCTTAATGACTCACTAAACTTAATTTTGCTGACCTCCAGTAGTTAAAGTTCTTACCATTGCAGTAGTCAGTATGACCCTGACATCAATGCAGCTGTAGTTACAGTTGCAAAAGAGCACAACTCTGATCACATTTTTGATGCTAGCTATGGTCAAAGTTGCAGACCAAAAGAAGTCACAAGATGTTAGTCTTGCACTCTTTAAAAGGACAAATTGTGCCACAAACACAGTATATGTTGCTACATTATATCTTCAGCTCTGTTGGGCATATAAAGGCAGAAATGTTCTTTATATGCATACAGAGTCACCCTTTTCTGCACTGCTCCACATTATAGCACTAAGGTCAGGCTTAGCCATTCATTTAATAGACCTTTAATATTTCCAATCTATAGCTGTACGTCAGTCGCTCCTGTGAGGCTTTTTTTCCCCTTTTTCCCTCCCTTTTCTTCCTGTTCATTCATGGAGGTAAGTTTGTTGGCACTGGTTAGTGTCCCTTCACGCACACAAGCACTGTCTACATCTAGTTTTTCCTTCTAAAATTGGCTTCTCTCTTAATTCAAATTGACATGGCATTAAGGGCTAATTAGGGGACTAGACTTAGTCCTGTTAGGGAGGCCGAGGCTCAAGGAAACTGCTGTATCGTTACAGGCACCTTCTGACATTGCAGGGTACTGCCCACATGGGAATACAAGAGGTAGAGAGAGAGATGGAGAGAAGAAAAGATATGAGGTGTGCTAGGTAAGCGGTGCGTGGGGAGCGTAATCAGACAGGGTAATTGATTAAAAGGTTGATTAAGGTTAAAGGGTTTTTAGAATGGGTGGCGAGGAGGGTATTCAGTGTTACTTAATGGCATCTCTGCAGTGTGTCTCAGCCAAGGTCAAGACTCCTTGCGACTGGAGGCGTGGGGAGTTAGGAAGGAAGTGAGAGACATAGAGAGGGAATCATGGGACCTCTGCAGTTGCAGAAGTTATGTTGAGCTGCGTGTCTCCCTAATCATAAAGACTAAAGGTTCCATTGCCTCATAAAGGTGACATACAAGAGGGGTTTTTTTCTTTCTAGAATTGTGGCATGATTTCAGGATTTCAAGTGTCTTAATGTCACATTTCCTAACTGGTTGTTGTTACTTCTTTACCTATGAGCACATCCGTCATTCATAAATCTGCTGGGTAAACTGGAGTATTTATTTTCTTTGATTCTTATCCTCTTTCCTAACAAATGATTTTAATGATATCTGCCTGTCCTTCTCAGCTTTGAGGAGACCATTCATTCTGACCAAATGCCCAACTCTGTTTGCAGAAATGCCGCACTAGACTTGCAAGGAATCTCTAGCATGCTTCACTGTTGCCTGCAGACACTCATTCTTGTACCACTCTACAGCCCTTCGGCGAACAACCTGCCTTCTGCTGCAGCCGAATATCAGTCCAGGGCACTCGCTGCCATTTTTCCTGCGCCCCAGTTTCCATGTCACAGGTATGGCTTTTTGACCACAAGTCTTCCATGAAGGCCACTTCTGACCAGACTTCTCCGGGCAGTAGATGGGTGTACCAGGGTCCCACTGTTTTCTGCCAGTTCTGACTGATGAACATCTTCCAATTGCAAAGTGGAAGTAAGCATGATGCAGTAAGTTTTTTGGCCAACCACAGCGTCTATGGTACTCAGTGTTGCCCAATTCTCTCTGCTTCTTCTAAAGAGCTTGGACAGCACATTTGGAAAACCCTATCTGCCTTAAAAATGGCTGCCTGAGTGAGACCTTACTGATGCAGTATAACTACCTTGTGTCTTGTTGCTGTGCTTAGTGTTATCTATCTATCCATATATATAATATAATATATATATATATATGTGTGTGTTCACGTTCACGTACAGACAACTAAGAGGTTTTAGAGCACTTTGTTATTTTGCTGTGCTGCAGCAAAACTTGCTGAGAACCTTTTAAGTGCTGGTGTATTCCTCCAGAGACAGGAAATCTGCATACAGACGCCCACAACAGACACACACACGTATAAATAACTATAAAACCGCAATCAAATGTCTCCAAAAGGAGGAGGAGGAGCAGGAGAGACTAACGTGACCGCATTCTGTTTGTAGAGCAAGTCCACTGTCACTTCTTGTTTGCTCTCGGACATTCTGTTAGCTCACGTGCAGTTGTCATTACTCTGCAATTATGGCGGCGTGGTGGGGTAGAGGGTGTATGATGTACTTTTAGCTGCAGCGGTTCGCTGTCAGGAAGCGTTAGCTGTAATTGCCAGTTAAGACGGTGGAAACGAGAGGCTGTCTTCCCTCCAGCTCTCAACCCCTTCTGCCTATTAAACCATTCAGACTCTCCTCTCCTCCGCTGTTTCCACAGGAGGGATGTGGTGATTATGCCATTTATGCCACGTCATTACGCCATATTGGAGATTCTGGAAAATTAGCCAGAGAAATGGCAGGGAGATACCAAGCTGCAATTGTTGTAATATCTGGTTAAAACAAAAATTGCTCACAATTTGGAAAGTGAAAAAAGCAAACTAACTTTTAAGATGAGTTGAACAAACAAATACACAAACACACAGTCAACAATATTCTGTTGTAACTTTTCTTCTTGTCCTCATCTCCATCTCCCTCACATACTTGTGCTCAAACAAGCAGTCAATTAACGGACTAATAATAATTAAATTAACTGATATGTCGATAAATTATTCAGCAACTATTTTGATTTTTGATTTTTACATTTGTTTTACTTAATAATCTTCATAACAATAACAATTGTTTAGGGGCATTATGGAGTTTCCAGCGGCCACTAGCAGTGCGGTTTTAAGATTGCAACCAGGCGTGTGCTTGTACGCGTGCTCGCTTGAACTCATGAGCGAGCATAATCCAAAAACCCAACCACTTTCATACAGAAATCCTGCAATACGCAGAAACACTAGCATGCAAACTGTGGCTTTTCACACAGACATGTTCAGGCTCTGTTACTTCAACGTTCCCGTCTCAGAGGCAGGTCTACACCGGCTCCGTAAGGTTACTTCATTCAGCGCAGCGAGCCGCATATCGGCACAATCCTCCCGGAAAAAAGGCTGAGTGACACCAGCTATGGACAGGCAGGGAGACAGCTTCACACAACATGCTGGAAACTCAGGTAAACCCCAGGTAAACTCCCACTGCAACGTTACAGTATTAGTTTTATCAGCTGCAGGTTGAACTAATCCATGCTCATTACATGATCACGGTACATTTGCTGCATTTAGCCGACATGCTACATCGTTAGCTCGCCTGCTGCTTTCAGTAACTATCATTACTATCTGTGAATCTGTCACCGGAGGCTCAGCAATGTCAGCACAGCTACATGTACTGGATGATAACGAAACGGGTAGTGAGCTGGACTGAATATTATAGCGAGATTACACTTTATAATAATAAAACCGCGGTAAGTAAATTTACTGTAGTGTCAGTGGACGGCTCTTCCTCTGTGTTATTGTGACCGTTTTGTTGCAGTGTTTTATATTATGTGGGTCATGTTAGTAACAGCGACTGAGAGGTGGAGAAGCTGTGTACCTGAGTATCGGTAAAAGGCAATAAATCTAAATTGAACGTTATGAAGCAAACAGCAGCAGGTCCCAGCTAATGTAGCGTTAGCTGGCTGCTCCTGGCTGCATCACTGTAGGATAGTAAACAAATTGTTCCACATTTGCTTTTTACCGTTACATCATTTCTTGCAGGCTTTGACACTTTGACATCATACCAGTGGTACACAGGTTAGTAATAAGGGTCGCATTGGTTGGTGAATTAATGTGGAAAGCATTTACCAGACAACATTAGCAACTGCTCGGCATTAGCCGGCGAGCTAACGTGACTTTCTCTGTGTTTCTCCAGCTTTACTAATGATCAATTTGTTCTTACTCGACATCATCTGAACCTGTTTGGTGTGATGGGCTTCAACACATTTTGCTGTGGGCCGGTTGTTTAATGGTGTTAGTGGGCTGCATGTCGTTAGCTGCCGTGTTGTCGCTGTAGTGTGAGAGAGGCTCGGCACAGAGCTGAATCTGACCCAGAGGCCTCACATTAAAAGCAGAATAGTGACAGATGCAAGCAACGGAGAAAACAGGCGTGTGCTTCATTTCTAAGTGAGTTTGAGCCCAATGACAATTTGATTTATTAAAATCAAAAACTTACATATAGCCCCTTTAACTTTGTTGAAGTTGGGAAATACGCATTTGAAAATGTCAGTACTTTGTGCATTTTCCCTGATGATTAAACCATTTGTTCCATTATAATCGAATCGCAAATCGCAATATGACTTTTTATCCAAATCGTGCAGCCCTAATGCATTGTAATATTCCCACATACAAGCATCATTTACATATGGGCTTGCCTGTATCCTTTCCAAGCATTCAATCACAAGTGACGAGTACAAGCCAAACACAGCACAAAATGTCTAAATAATGAAACTCCAGCTGCAAAAATTAGCTGATTAATCATTTAGTCGATTATTTCATAACCGATTAATCCAACATCATTTTTATTTTTAAGCAAACAATACCAAACATTTAATGGTTGCAAGTTCTCAAATGTGAGAATTTTCCTCGCCTTACATTATAAATAACTGAATGTTTGTCATCTGAGGCTGTATTATAATGGGATTGGCATTTTCTACCTTTTTAATGTTTTGTAGACCAACTGATTGATTATTCAAAATAATAATCAGCAGATGAATTAGTTGCAGCCCTAGATGTAAAAGCTCTTAATGAACAATCAGCCAGCTCAAGTTTGGCTACACATTACCTCCTCACTCAAACAAAGTGTCCAGTGGCAGCACTACACCTACTGAAATATACTGCAGCTAAACAGTAAACAGAAAAACTTTTTCAGTCTTTATCCAAACAGTTTTGATCTGTTTTAAGGCAAGACAGCATACGATTGCTGCTTTTAATGCAACACAGAAGGAGAAGTAGTTGTCAGACGTTTCCGATCGATGGCCATTTGGGAAGGAAAGAAAAATGGAGGGAAGGGAAGGAAGAAGGAAGACTGCTGTTAACTGTGAAACACTGGTGCTTAATCTCATTATACCAATTGTCTATGGGGGAGAATTAGAGTGGGATCTGCAGGAATTAGACATGTTGGGGTTGTACATAATGAGCTCTATGTAATCCCCCCACTTGCAATCAAAGGCAGCCAGAGAGTACCAGCCAGCACACACATGTAGACATGCACATAAACACATACACACACTCTTCTTGCGCCTTTTAAAGAGTGCTGCCATTGAAAGCCACAGACGAGCCTGACAGTCATCGTTTTGAAATGAGCGGCTGCAATTGAGTGTTAACAGCGCGCGAAGTGCCAAATTACACAGAGTGGGGGATTAACGGCAGAAACGGACAGATAAATGAACAGGAGAGTGAGGGAGAGCGAGGGAGAGAGAGGCAGGAAGAAAAAGACAGGGGAGAAAGAGACGCAAACTGTCGAAGTGAAGAGAAGTGCTCAGTAATGAATGAGAGGCAAGTGAAGGATTTGGCTTAGAGCAAAAGAGTCTGTGAATTGATGTGGCACTGTAAAAGGAAAAATGGGAAAAAAGCACAAAGTGCTGAAAGGATTCACAGACCACATAGATGTTACAGCACCACCCTGTGGGAGAAATAAAGCAACTAGCCATCAACTCAAACTGTTGTTGCTTTTAAGCATCAATTAATGTCTGAACCAGGGTCGAGCGGTGTGTGTGACTTACTCAGTGTGTCCCTGGAAGACGTTGACAGAGTGGATGGACGGGTCTCTGAAGTCCCACAGTCGGAAGGTGGTGTCTCTGGATGAAGTGACCACCAGACGCTGGGTAGGGTGGGTACAGCAGTGGGTCAGCTCCTGGTCATGTCCTGCATACACAGACAGCCAAGAGGAGTCCACTTAATTTTGTACAATCAAATAAATTTAATTATTAATTATTAACATAAATGATGTTTCACAGATTTGTCTATACCTTCTTAAAGGAATAATTTGTTTTCTTGATTCCAACGTACGTTAAACCATGTAGTGTCTGTCATTTTTAGATTTTTTTATTGAGCATTAGAGGAGCGGGTAGCTTTAGGCTGTATCTTCATTTTTAGCATTCAGCCATGACAGTGGACATGGACTACATTCATTTCATAGTGTATTCACACTAAGTATAGGAAACAGGGGTTTCTTCCTGTTCAGTTAGGGAACGAAAACAACAATAGCCAATCACATAAAATGAACAACCACGCCATTTTGTCTACCATTTGCGCTTAGTTATATGTTAACTTTTCACTGAATGCTACAAAGACTTTTTATGTGTTTTCAGGAACTTCAAACCATTGTACACATCAAATGATTTAAATGAGATGAAGCACTGGCCTAACATGCTGTGTGTTTCTGTTAATTTGGGAGTGACCAGTAATTTAGGATCGAGTACTAGAAAATATCTAATAGAAATACACAATAGTATGAAATGGCAAAATATATACCTGCTGAGCAAAATGACAGAGGAAGATCATGACAGAACAAATAATTAATGAAAAATATGAACAATACATAAATAAATAAAAAATAACATCCAAATGTATACATACCAGAAGATAACGAACATGTATACCAGAAGATGAAGGTAACAGACACCATATTGTGCTATACTATAATATAATGTCTCAGGCAGTTTACATACCAGTGAGTGTGTGAACCAGTTCAGACGTCTCCACCTCATACAGGTTGGCAGCACGATCCCAGGAAGCTGTCACCACTTGTCGGCCTCCCACCAACCAATCAGCTGCGATCACTACACCCTGGTGGCTCTTCAGGGTTCCTGTAGGGACCCGGACGGTGGGGACCTCGCCAGGGCCTTCACCATCCACCTCACCTTCTTCTCGGTCTGATGAGTCCTGGTCGTCATCACATAGAGCCTATGAGTGTACAAAGAAGGACACACAACAGTTCAGTCAATGCAAACAGATGCTGGCAGTGATACAGGATAACCGCTACTTAATTTTCCAAGTAAAAGTAAAATGACCTATTTGTAAATGTACTTAATATTCACTGACTATATAAATTTAATAAATCATCTGACAGGAATACACCTCTGAGAACTCCACAACATCCCAGGATATTCCAGTAGAAACTCTGGGAAGAGAACAGTACACAGCTACTCACACTGACATCTGGTGGTGGCTGGGGGACAGGAAGCTGCACCATGTAGCGCCAGATGTGTGCTGTCTGGTCTCCAGAGGCTGTGGAAACACGTCAACAAACACACGCAGGACGTTCAGATCTACAAGAAAATTCACTACAGGCAGGGAGAAGATGCTGAAATAGTCATGAAGGGTTTTGAACATATCACAAATATTAAATGTAGCTAAATTGAACTAAATAAAACACACATTTCAATACATACCAGTGAGGGCCATCTGCTCTGTTGGGTGGAACTTGATGGAGTTAACTGTGGGCGAACAAACAATAATGAGACATCAAATATTCCTATTATCTAACAAGTGAGCAACTGTTGACAGACCGGCCAGTGTTTAATAATGACATGTTCTGCCGTGAAAGAACCTGCTGCATAAATTGTCATTATATTTCATTTCATAATTTAAAACTATTTAGTAGTTTGAATTACAAAAATACAATTTAACCTAAGTTTTAATCCTAATATACAAAGTATGACTAATCTCATCCTGATCTTGGATATGTCTGCATTGTTTCTAAGGAATTATTACCTGATCCTGCATGGCCAGCATACCTCAGCAGACATTTGCCAGTCTCTATGCTCCACAGCAGAGCGGAGTGATCTGTCAGGGGAGAGCAGGGGTGGACAGCATGAAGCCATTCACGTTTTACATAGTGATAAAGTAATTATTTAATATTGTAATGCACTGAATTTACATAGTGGGCTCTCTGGTTAGATTTAGTGAGACATTTATGGAACACTGTACAACACAATATAAGGAACACAAACTGACGATGACACGATGATGTAGCACCTTTAGTTTTTATTAGTTATTCTTATTGAAAACCACTATGTGACATGCAGGCTGTGTATAGAAAAATACCACAGTGATTGACTTATTTGAACAGTAAAGCAAAGTGGCTTGGTGTACCTGCAGAGGCGGTGCCCAGGACCACTGGCTGAGTTCGGGTGATGCTGAGGTCCCAGATGCCGTCCCGGTGGCCCACATACTCTTTGAGCAGCTGGCACAAAGCCCGGGACCCTGTGGTGGCTTTAAAACTGGACACAATCTGAGCAGGGAAGAAAGAGAAGTGGGCATGATGGAGAAAAACGACAAAGGGATGAACTGCTCTACCAAAGAAGTAAAATTAAAGAAAGTACAGGTGCACCAAGAAGGTTTTTAGAACTCATGGGAATGCTGATAACTTGACAAAATAAACTCATACATATACCAGCATATCTAAGACTTAACTTGCTAATGCCTTGCTACATGGCCTACTGTGGAACAGTTACAACAACACATGTATCACTTGGGTTTATAATTTGGGTATTATAACTGAATGTCAGCTACATCACCATACCATATACGAAAAGAGATCATCACACAGTTTTTTGTTGGTCTCTGACAAACTCAGATAAACGGAAAAGGCACAGTTGGTGAGGCATCTTTCTTTGGGCTTAACTCTTAACTTCCTGGTCTCGCAAAGCTGGCTATTCCACCTGTGTCATTATATTGTATATGTTTAACCTCACTGTGAATCAATCTTACGCTCGATGAAGCCAGATAACCCAAAGAGAGCAAGGCTAAGTTGTGATAACAGGCCCCTAGAACGGTAGCAAAAATCAAAGTGTGTGCGCGTATATCTTGTTATTAGAGGATGTTTCTGCAACTGCCAAAAGGTTTCAAATTGCATCAAACTGTGTGCCACTGTAGTATTAATATCAAGACTGCTCATATGCCAATTACAAAGTATTGGTGTAAGGAAGATAGATGATCACTGTGTTGAATCTTGTGGTGCACCTATAAAAATGATTAGTGGTCTGGCTAGACATGGCCTTCAGGCTTCCAGATGAACAAATTACAAGCTGAATTGTAGTTTCACTTGTCACAGAGTGGTTACAACCTGTACTGTGCATGCTGCTGCAAGCAGACGGCTGACCACAGCAATAAATTTGGATCATTGGTAGTCATTAGATGCAGCAGCAAAGCATCTGGTTCACTCGTGTCAGACTGTGTTAATGTATGCTCACATTCTGTCTGGTGTGCTTACATTCACATTAGAGTACAATACAATCTTATTTGTTTTATGTCACTGAAACACATTGAGCAACAGGAAAAATAGCCCATTCCAGTCAAGTTAAACTGAGGATATGGTTAGTGCAGATCATTAGCGTCAGAACCGTCAGTCTTTCTTAGCCAGCTGATAGGTTAACTGTATATTATATAGCAGCTAGTTCTGTCAGGAGGTTAATCTAAGAAGTCCTCCCTTGATCCTGGTATCCTCTTTTCTAACTTTCAAATAAGAAGAGGATTGTATCCCACTCTTCATCAAGCTCAGACTTTGGCTGCATTCAGATTATTTCTTTGCTTTAAGAAAGGCAATGCAAGGGAACACAAGACATGTTTGAACGCCATATCACACTTAAAGCTGTGGTAGGCAACGTTGGGGAAACCGGCAAGAGAAAGTAAAAGTATCCAACAGAAAAAAAACCCCTCCAAAGCCACTTCACCAAAACACATGTTCATGCGCAGCGAGTGCATGGGCAGAGTGCGCTCAAGTAGGCAGATAGGCAGTAAAGAGAATTTCAACAAATATGGCCAAAAATGCTTCTGAAATAAATTGCCTACCCTAGCTTTAAGTTTGACAGTTCGATATTTTGGGAAATGACTAGTAACTTTCTTGCCAAGAGTTTAATTAGAAGATCAATCAAAAATTAACACGCTACATCTCGTTTGTTTAATCCATACCGAAAAAAGTAATTTTGTTATTTAACGGAGGTTATATGCTGGACTATTTCTTTACAGCTGCTGGTAGGAAGATTTTTCTTTTTACCTTTATCTGAGCCAGATTTCCAGTCTTTGTGTTAAGCTAAGCTCAGTGACAGCTGGCATTAGCTTCCTATTTAACAAACACTTTTTCCTGAACGCTGCTCAAATTATGTCTAAAGTTGAGCATTCTGACTCCTAATAAACTTGCCTTGTGATGTGGGAAAAACAGTTTGGCATTTATAATTCCACATCAGTTTTGGTGTTTGGACAACTGACATTGACATATCATTCTGAGTAGGGTTGCAATGGTATAAGATTTTCACGGTGCGATAACAGTCTCAGAAAATATCAGTTTTACAATATTACAAAATTATTGTCTCTTACAGACGCTTTACTATAATTTCACAAAATCTTATATTTATGTATGTCCTCACAAAACTTAAAAGCCCCCCCCTCCCCATTTTTTAAATGGAAGTATATGTAAAAAGTCTCCCTTATAATAAATTAAAAGATGGGCATAAAGGTGAGATTCTCTATCCGGTGGCATTTAAAAAAAAAAAACTGTATATGAGCAAATGTACATGGTATGATTACTGTCAATCTTCATACCATGGTATACCGCTGCAACCCTAGTTCTGAGACAGCTGATGGAAAGGGACTCAAGTGGTTGCCAAAGTAATTAAGGTTATATTCTATTGGTCAACGATTTAATTCAATAAATAAGTTAACCAATATGACACTTCCAAAAATACAGGGTAAATATGTTTTTGGGTTTACAAATGCAGCCGTTCACCCAAATTACTCCTGATTACTTTTGACAAGGGTGCAGAGCAGAGAAGAGATGAGGAGTCAAGGTCAGACTGTAGTTAAAAACAGACTCAGCCCACAGCTGTCCCCCACAATGCTTAGTGACAAACAGAGCATTCAGGAAGTTACCCATGAATCTCCTCCCCACAACTCCCATGTGGCCACACTGAAGTTGCGAGGTCCCCCTATTTTGCCGTGGAATGTGTACAAGCACTAAATCGGCAAAGATTAAAAAGGAAAAAGTCAATGGAGAGGTCACTTTGGGATAAATGCTTAAACTCAAGTTCCTTAACCCCTGCAAACGTTTTATATAAATGCATGAGCACTTCAAAAACAAAATAATTTAACAGAAATTCATTTGTTTACCCACTCTTTACATATCAGGACCTTAGAGGAAGAGAAAGGGCTGCCTTCCCCTCACTCAGCAACAAAGGGGCTGATATTCCATTTCCATTACGAGCCTGAATCCCAGCTCAACCAATTACACACATGACAAATCTTGAGAGTTCTATAAAATAGGCTAACATAGCTGGAGCCAGGTACCTTGCTGGTAGAGGCTTTGTAGGTCGTTTTCAGCTTCTGTGACAGTTGACTGGTGCTGTGGCTGGCTGTGGGATGGAGAGGCAAAGAACAGTGTGTGAAAATTCACCCCTGAGTAACAAACTCATTGGTTGGCTTCACTGCTGGACTAATGGCCTAATAAAGTGGTCATGGTTTTGAATTGCACGCACCTTACAATACAAAGCCCTGTGTGTTTCTAGTTATTAGTCGTCAGTACTCTCTGCATGGCTCCTAATGAATCTACGCAGTGGAACCGACACCATGTGCTCAGCAGGGATAGAGTTGTGTAATTCGAGTCCAGAGGGTTGTTTCATAAAACAAGATTCCCAGATAATCCTGGCTTATTTTCAGGAAATTCTGTTTCATAAAGGAGGTGTAAATAAGTCTGACCTAAGTAATTATGGAAACGTATCCCTCCAGAACCTGACCAGGACCAGGCTGGTTTTCAGGATTCGTTTCATGTCAGTCTTACCATCAATGTGCCTGACTGAAACACAGTGTTTATTTGTGTTTAACAGTGTTCGCTTCTTTACTGCTGCACTATGAACAGTAGTCAGTTTGCAGTACATGTCAAATACACGTGCAAAAACCTCTCTATGCTTTGTTAATTGCAGTGGTTTTGTCTGATTTAGTTTCATTCTTTTCCTCTCCATATTATATGTTAATTACGTGCAGCTCTGATTTTCTGATGGTAAACTTAGACAAAACGTAAATTATTGTACTTGGTCCTTTTTTTCTTTTATCACCTAGATAACACTGTAACATTGTGATTCCTATAGTATCCAAAAGGAGAATGGGAGGCAGAGCCTTCAGCTATCAAGCTCCTCTCCTGTGGAATCAGGTCCCAGATTGGGTTAATTTAAATTTAATATTTAGTACACTTTCTTCTTTGATAAAGCTTATAGTTCAGGCTGGCTCAGGTGACCCCTGAACATCACTTAGTTATGCTGCTATAGGCCTAGACTGCCAGGAGACTTCCCATGACGCACTGAGCTCCTCTCTCTTCCTCTCCTTCTCAATCTGTATGCATTTCTATTCCATTAATTCATGTTACTAAATCGACTTCTCTCTCCCATAGTTTGGTGCTTTCTCGTCTCTCTCCTCTTTCTTTCTGTCACTTTCTGCAGATGTTTCTACCTCTGGAGCTGTGGGGTCTGGATCTGTGGTTGCAAGCCACCTATTGACCCATGTTCCTGCTTGACACCCGCAGCGACAATTATTAATTTTAGTCCTATTTTTATTATTATTGCTATTGTTATTAAGTTTGTCCTTGCCATTCTCGCCAAGTGCTTACTTGTGGTAGGAATTGTTGGGTGTCTGTGAATTACATATTACATATTACATATAGTACAGTCTAGACCAGCTCTATCTGTAGTGCAACGAGATAACTTGTATTGTGAATCGGTGATATATAAATCATATTGAACTGAACTGTCTTACAGGCAGACTTTTCCAGCCAACATGGAATGAGATGTATAATTTAGCCACACTGACCTACTGTGTAGGAAATACTTTACCTTTTGTTTTCAGAGCTCCCTTGGTGGGGTCTCCCCCCTCAATAGTCTGTCCATCTCCGGTTAGACGCTCATTCAGAGAGTCAATTTCTCGGCGTACTGCAATGTTAGCACAGTGATAGGGGCATCAGTAAGCAAACACTGCCTGTACTCTGAAATCATCTGGTTAGTCAAGTCAACACCTGGAGATCAATACAGTAAGGTGTGGTATGTTTCTATCAATTACTCACATTCAAGGTTTTCAATGTAGAGATTCTCAAACTCTCGCTCAATCTGGCCAAAAAGGTCAAGAAGATTGTTCCGTAAGGAGAGTGGCAGCTTGGAGTCCTGGACAGACAGACAAGAAAAGAACAATTCTTTAGTAAGCTGACATATAGGCATTAAAATCAGGAATAATGCTGGTGTAGGGAGCAGGAGTCACCACGTTTATTCCCTACAGATCCTTTACCAGTGTGGTATTCTCTGTAGTTATAATGTGATACAGGAAATCTGACTATCAAGACCATTTTAAAATTTGTTCACAAAAGAAAGAGAAAAAAATTGTTCACAAAGGAATACGTTCAAATATTAAAATGCTGTTGGGCGCCTCACTGGTTAGAGAGCATGCCAAGTGGCAATGCTGAGCACTTATCGCAGCGGCCTGGGTTTGAGTTTGACCAGAGACCCTTTGCTGCATGTCAACACCCCGGCCTCTCTCCCTGCCTTTCCTGTCTCTCTATATTGTCCAAATATAAAGCAAAATGCCTAAACTATATTACTTGTCATAATATATGACAAGTAAGTCATATATTATAACAATTCACAGAGAGGTTTGGGTGACTAATAAAATACACACTACTAATCAAAAGCAACACACATATCTCATGTCAAACACAGCCTGTATGTTTTCCGTATTTAATCAGCCACCAAGTGCGTTAGAGTTAAAACTCGACTACATTTTGGGACACATAACTACAACCTACAAACAACTAACTACACAACAGCCAGGGTCCAACCAGTAAAACTCATTTCAACTGACTTACCTCCATGATGAACTCCTAGATGTACCCAGTTATCAAGTGACCACCAGTCTACACCAGACAAGCATGCAAACAGACATAAAAGCTGCCGTGAAAACAATGGATTCAAAGGGCTGCATTTGACAGCTTGCATTGGGCGCTGCTGTGAAAGACGAGGAACCCAAATATTCAACTGTCACCTATACTTCTTGCACGCATTTAAAACCAACAGTTGGTCACAGTGACGTTAACTGCATGACCATTCTGTCAGCGCCACATGTCAACACACTTTGTAAATTAGCAAACAACAGGCAGCCCTTATGAATTCAAAGCTGCTTAGTTGTGGCACTAAAACCTACAGCATACTCTGGCAAATAATGACAGCATTGAAAGTGTGAAAGAAAATGCGTTCTGTGTGTTATATGTGGGTTTTATAAAGCTCTGTGTGTGTGTGGAACCTGTGCTGTGGGGGGTAGGTACATAAACAGAGCCAGCATGTCTTGGCAGTAGACAAAAAGACCTGGTGAAAAGACTAATCAGGCCCGGACAAGCGGCCCATATTAAAACTTGATGAGACAACAGGCCAGTGCAAGCTGAGCTCTAGTTTTAGTGGCTGATAATTCAAGGATATTGTCAAGTAGAGAAAGTAAATGCTAAACGACGTCTATGGCCAAAACTAGGGCTAGGCACAGACAGAGTTTTCGCTTTCATTTTACCAGTTTGTTCTCCCATGATAATACAATCTAAAACACTTGACAGTCACTCACTAACCCTTTGTTCAGTTTATCTGAGAGACGACTCTCAATGTGGTCACTCTACAGACAGCTGCCAAAAGTTCTCAACCCGGATGTTCTTGATCAAACAGAAACTGCTTTTATTATGTAAGCAGTGAAGAAGCTTGACAGAAGCTGTTTGCCTCAGGAAATGCCAGCTCATGTCAAGGCTTAAGGTCTTCCTTTCTGGAAGAAATAAATCAATTGTAGCTCCAACCTGTTTGGAGCTGGTTAATCACTAACTTGATGGCACCAGTGGGCTTGAAAAGTCACAGTAGATTACTTTGTTTTAACAAAAATAAATCAGTAACCAACCAGCACATTCACACTAAGCAGATCATAAAAGTCTAGAGAATGTAAAATACAAATGGCATAAGCACTTTAACTAAAGCAAGTTTATTTCAAAGTAAGATCCTGCAGCGACCTAAAAAAAAAAAAAACGCCAACATTTTCCCCATGGGAGAAAACACATTTTAGTATGGAGTTGTGGGTGTTGCAACACCAGGAGGAAAATAAAAGCAATGTTGCTCATCCAGCTGGTACAGTACTCTCATGACAAAAAAACATCCTCACAATACAATCAACAGAATGACCAATTAGCAAATAATAACTTCCTGGTCTATGTTTTTTGTGCAAATCCACAAGAAGCTATAAAGGTCATACTTACAAAATATGTAGTTACATGCCTTATAAGAGGCATATTAACAAAATGTTTGCCTTCAGTTGTCAGAGTGTGAGTGTGATCTCACCTGTCCCTCCAGCATGTCTCCTCTTTGGATGCCAGGTGGCCTCTCCTCTGTGCTGTTGGTGCGCCGGATAGACAAACTGTGAGCCTTGCGCTTCTGCTTGGGGTGACGGGCAGCCGAAGCAGAGCTGCCACTGCTTCCGCCCTCCACAGGCATCCCTCCTACCTCGTGGGTGGCACTGCCCCCTGCCTCTTACCTGAGAAGCAGGTACACAAAGGCCAGACTTGCTAGTTGGTTGGTGGTTGGAATAGGCTGTTATCAGCACCTGCCTGCAGGTAAAAAAAGAAAGAAATGAAGCTCAGGTTCACAGCCATTGCAGGGAATGCTCAACATTTGTACAAACATGAACATTATTCCAAACTCCATTGAGTCAGCAATTTATTGTTGCTTTGCATATCAGCAAAAAATTACATTAGTACTTTGTAGACATGATTTAACATATGTTTGTTTAAAAATTGGTAAATGCATATATCCACCACCGAGCACTTCACAAATGTTTTAGACGTAATTCACTTAATTGACTACCACAATAACAGGTTAAAACTTGAAATCGAGTTCCTTTGTAACTTAAACTGTGTGTCACCTCAATTTACTATTGGCAGCAACGAAGCCTGGCAGATATGAAGACGTATGCTACAATGAACCTGTGTTTGCCAACATGCATTAACGTTACGACATTAAATTCACGGTATGTTTATACAATTCAGCGTCATTATCGTTAAATGCTAAGAGGACGACATATTTTGGACGTATGCAGCTTCATGCTATCGTTGAGATGGCGTAGCGCCATTGTTAACGTTATGGACAGCTGAACAACTTATAACAAAATTTAGCCTGCGTCATACAGTTACAAGCACAATACTAAAACTGGAACTATGCGCCAGACCACACAGTGAATGTATTTATAAATATGCCCAATAACTGCCCATAGCAAATTAACATAGTATGTTAAATTATGCTTGTAAAATGCATATTCGATATGATTCTGACATATAACAAGGACACTCACCGCTGTCACTGCCTCACTGAATTCATACTTAGCTAGCATGGACGTCTAGAAACGAAATTAGCAACTCGCTAACGCAGGCTAGCTGCCACATAATCACCCCCGTTGCGGCAACTAACGTTAACGTTTATACATCACACAGCAGCTAAGCGACAGCACGGATGGACCTTCCTTACTCAATATGAAATTATATTAACCTGTCAATTTGTAATTTTAAACATGTTGACGACGTATGAATTTGACAGTGGAGGTTAATGACGCGTTACAGTTTGATAAATATCAGAATTTTAATACAAAACGTTGACACATCACGTCTTTTATTGGCGCACCGACTTCCGTATGCCGTAGTTTGTGTTTGCACTGTGTGAGCCAATGGGCTGTCACACCAAAGCTAAGGCATCCAATGAAAACCCGCGACGTCAGAAGCAGGGAGTGAAGGCTAGCTTGTTCGAGCAGTGTGCAGCTCTAACATATCGTCGTAAACAAACGCGAAATACGTTTAAAGACGTGGTTTGTCGACCTGACACAGGAAAGTTGTTTTGTAAGTAACTGAAGGTATTATCGGTGTCTCTGTACGATGTATATGTAGCAGACAATGCATACTTATTTCCAGTTGTCAGAGGCCTGGGTGGTGCGGGATGTGCAATGCAGTGGTCTGATGGCGTGTTAGCGATCAGTGTTCAGAGGAAAACATGAAGTGGACTCAACTGGGACAGGACAGTAAGAGCCTGCCATTTTCCACTGTATGCTTTCATGTTAAAGCGTCAGTGGTAGCTAATATAATATATATATATAATATACAACAGTAAAATACCCACAGGAGCCACTTTACTCCGTTGTGTACTTGCCTTTGATATTTAAAGTACACTTTGCTGATAACACATAACATTACATACCATAGACTGTACAATTTCACTGCAGGACTGTGTGGTAGTGCTACTTTTAGAATGTGAGGACTGTGAACACTTCTTCCATCACCTGATATTACCTAATGAGGATGTGCTCTTCTCGTTTTTAAATCATTGTAAATAGAATAACTTTGAGTTTTTGAGTGTTGGTGGGACAGAACAAATTATTGTAATATTTAATTTGATTAGATTTTATTTGGATATATTTTAGCTCACTGGCTAATCTTCCAAGTGTCCATTAAAACATTTAGCATAAATAATTCAAAACAATAAGTGATAGATCAATAATGAAAAATAATATTTGCAGTAAAAACGTAAGGGAATAATGAGTTAAAAACAAGCTCAAAGCTCAAATTCTATGGCCATTCAGGTTAATGTTGACACCTCACTGGAGACATGCCATGTGCCAGCCTGCCTCAAAGCCTCCACCATCATCCCCAAAAAACCAAGGACCACAGAACTAAATGACTACAGGACCCGTCACCCTGACCTCTGTGGTTATGAAGTTTTGTGTTGTCCGACCTCAAATCCATCACAGACACACTCCTGGACCCCCTGCATTTCGCATACAGAGCCAACAGATCTGTAGACGAGGTAGTTAACATGGCCCTTCACTTCATCCTCCAGCACCTGGACTTGACTGGAACCTACGCCAGGATCCTGTTAGTGGATTTCAGCTCTGCTTTCAATACCATCATCCCGGTCCTGCTGCAGGACAAGCTCTCTCAGTTGAGCGTGCCTGACTCCACCTGCAGGTGGATCACAGACTTCCTGACTCCAGGGTCATCAGCACCGGATCCCATCAAGGCTGCGTTCTTTCCCCTCTGTTCTTCTCCCTGTACACCAACAGCTGCATCTCCAGTCACCAGTCTGTCAAGCTCCTGAAGTTTGTGGATGACACCACCCTCATTGGGTTCATCTCAGGTGGGGATGAGTCCGCCTACAAATGGGAGATTGACCATCTGGTGACCTGGTGCAGCCAGAACAGTCTGGAGCTCAACGCTCAGAAGACAGTGGAGATGGTCGTAGATTTCCCCCATTATCCTACGTGACTCTCCATTCGCCACTGCGGACTCCTTCCGCTTCCTGCACCATCATCTCCCAGGACCTCAAGTGGGAGCTGAACATCACCTCCCTCACCAAGAAGGCCCAGCAGAGGATGTACTTCCTGCAGCAGCTAAAGAAGTTCAGCCTGCCTAAGACAATGATGGTGCACTTCTACACCTTCATCATTGAGTCCATCTTCACCTCCTCCATCACCATCTGGTACGCTGCTGCCACTGCCAGGGACAAAGGCAGGCTGCATTCTTCTATATTTTTTTTATATCTTGTCAATTTATATATTTATATAAATACAATATCCTCTCCCACTGCAATACGTCTGCACAGCACAAACCCCGAGTAATGAACATGTAAATATCTGCCACATTGTCTTTCTCTGCACAAAGTTGTATTAGTTGTATTATTCTCTGTTGTTTTATTCTTTTATAACTTGCCTTTGTTTATTCTGTATTTATATATGTCTTCATTTATTTATGTCAACTGTATGTTTGTCCGACGTGTAGCTCCTTATCTCCAAAGCAAATTCCTCATATATGTAAAAACAAAAAAACAAAAAAAAAAACTACTTGGCAATAAAGCTCTTTCTGATTCTGATATTCACTTCAGTCCCCAGGTATTATCAGCAGCGTATCTTCCGATCCTGACTGGTGGGAAATCCTCTCCGCTTTTTAACAACACCCACACCTTCAGTCCTTATGATTGGTTTTCTGTTTTGGTCAGGCCATGGTGCAGGGTTGGTGGGCGGTGCTCCGGATGGTGTCCTCCCAGGGAACGGCTGCGCTGAAATCAAATGTACCTCGCACCGGAAGAGCTGCAGCGCCTTGGCACAGACCTGTCCTATCCTGTTCTGTCCCATCTACGACTGCCTGCTGTAGAGCTATATTCAGGTAAGCCATGGCCCTGTAGGTTTCTGAAACCAGCTGAAGTCACGGTTTGAGGTTAAAGACAGCAAAGCCAGAGATAAGCCTCTTGACCCTAAGCTGAGTAATTTTGTCTGTGCTATTGATAGCTGAACTCTCCTGCAGCCTGCCTCTTTTGGTCTGGATGAACACCGTTGTCTTATAATGAAAGACAAACAAATTGCCAAATTCTACTTTTTAAAAGTCTTGCATTTGATCTGAATAGCTGCAGCCCAACATCATTTTGAAAGTCCATCGTTTATGTCCTTTATTAATCAATCATCAAAATTTTAGACCAATTTCAAAACTGCCTTTTATTGCAAAGATTCTAGAAAGAATTGTGTCCAAACAGCTGCTCACTGTGCTGGAAAATAACAAATTATTTGAAAAGTTTCAGTCTGGTTTTAGGAAGTACCACAGCACTGAGACTGCCCTGCTTAAAGTCACCAATGACCTTTTAATGTCTGCTGATGAAGGCATGTGCTCAGTCCTGGTACTCCTGGACCTTAGTGCTGCTTTTGACACCATTGATCACAACATCATGTTAGACAGACTGAGGCACTGGGTGGGGATCTCTGGTACTGCCCTAGAATGGTTTTCATCCTACCTGTCAAATAGGAAGTTTTGCGTGTCTGTAAACAACTATGTCTCTTCGTTCTGTCCAGTTAAATATGGTGGGCCTCAGGGGTCCGTCTTAGGACCCATTTTGTTTTCCTTGTATCTGCTTCCCCTTGGACATATTATCCATAAACATGGTATTTCTTTTCATATTTTTGCTGATGACACAAATGTACTTGCCCGTCAGATCCACAGACCCTGGAATGCTGAGTTCACTTAACAACTGCCTTTGTGAAGTAAAAAAATGGATGTCAAATAATTTCCTCCAGCTGAACTCTGACAAAACAGAAATCCTGGTCATCGGGTCCCAGCAGATGGTAAATCAAATACTGCCATCTGCTGGTTCCCTAGTAAATCATTAAGCCTGTGGCAAAGAACCTTGGTGTTTGGTTTGATAGTAATTTAAATTTCGAGCAGCACACCACAAAGCTTGTTCAATCATGTTTTTATCAACTTAGAAATATAGCAAATATTCGATCTATGTTAACTTTTAAGGACACCGAGACCATTTTACACGCCTTCATCTCATCACGCCTGGATTATTGCAACAGCCTTTTCACTTGTTTAACCCAAAAATCTACTGATCGACTCCAGACTGTCCAGAACTCAGCTGCCAGGCTTTTAACCAGAACAAAGAAATATGACCACATTACCCCTGTGTTAGCTTCACTACACTGGCTCCCAGTATGTTTTAGAACTGACTTTAAAATTTTATTGATAACTTTTAAAGCTCTTCATGGCCTCTCGCCTTGTTATATTCCTGACCTTTTAGTCCCATACATACCAGCATGTACCTTGAGATCCTCGGGCAGAGGTCTGTTGTCTGTTCCAGAGTCTCGACTGAAAACTAAAGGGGACAGAGCGTTTGCTGTCAGGGCCCCGAGGCTCTGGAACAGCCTGCCCGAGGAAATCAGGTCGGCTGAGTCAGTCTTCAAACATACTTTTATAGGAGAGCCTTTCTCAATCTTATTTGGCTTTATTTTATCCCTTTTATTTTATTCTATTTTACTTATTTTATATTTATCTTAAACGTGTATTTTAGTCTTTTAAATTTTTTCTTGCTTTTATCTTGTATTGTTTTTGTATTATTGTTTTTTGTTATTGTCTTTACACTTGTTAAAGTACTTTGTAACTTGCTTTTGAAAAGTGCTCTACAAATAAAGATTATTATTATTAAGCAAGAAAGACAGATTATTCAATCATTTAAAAAGTTGCAGACCTTATTCACACAGAAATATGTTCAGAGGAGTCTCAACACATGAAATATATTCTACCTCTTTTTGAGTATGCAAGTTTGTACTTGAGCGTGAAAGTTCAATCTTGAACGTGGGGAAAGAAATAAACCCACAGTCCGCTTTAGCTTTTTTTTTTTGTCAAATACTCCCTACTGTGTTCAGAATGCCATAATGCGCATTACGCATTAAACTATCAACTGTTGTCTGCCTGCTCCTCCTCCTGTGCGTTGCAGTGAGGCGCGATACCTACAGTCTGCGGACAGAATGCCTGAGATAACCACAGACCACCTGGACCAGAAGCAGGTGCAGCTGCTGTCCGAGATGTGCATCCTCATCGACGAGAACGACCGCAAGATTGGAGCGGACACCAAGAAAAACTGCCACCTCAACTCCAACATCGACAAAGGTACCTGTCGGCCATGTTAAACTGCACCCACATGTCTCGCCTGTAGTACATATTTTTTATTATTTCAGATTATAGTTAATTTGTTTGTTTTTCCAGGTTTATTACACAGAGCTTTCAGCGTCTTCATTTTCAACAGCGAAGAGAAGCTGCTCTTACAGCAGAGGTCTGACGCCAAAATCACTTTTCCAGGTTAGTGACGAATCCTTAAATCTCCCAGCTTAACCACTATCCATCATACTCATGCGATCCATTGGGTTAGCAGTAGCGTAATAAGAGAACTGAGCACTATTAGTAGGCACTGGAAATGCGTTTAACTGTGCGTGTGTGTGCGTGTGTGTGTGTGTGTGTGTGTGTGTGTGCAGGCTGTTTCACAAACACATGCTGCAGTCATCCTTTACACACAGACAGTGAGCTGGAGGAGAAGGATGCAATAGGAGTAAGGAGAGCTGCTCAGAGGAGACTTGAAGCTGAACTGGGGATCCCCATGGAACAGGTTGTGTGTGTGTTGAAGACCTGGTTTCTGCATTTAATGGAGGAGGATAATTGAGGATCATGGAGAATCTTTCGTCTGATCTCCCCTGCCTTCCTGTTGCTCCTCAGGTGACACCAGATGAAATGACGTACCTGACAAGGATCCACTACCGGGCCCAGTCCGACGGGGTGTGGGGAGAACATGAGATTGACTACATCCTCTTCATGCAAAAGGTAGCGATGCAATGTTTGCTGGACTGTTCCACCACTACATTCAAGCCACAGAGATGAGCATCTGTTTTATAATAATAAACACCCAGTCATTGTAAAAAAACAAACCGTTTTAAACTGTTTCTCAAGGTGCAACTTTATGCCAGAAATGTCATCTCCTGTCATGTTTTGTACAACATAAGATAATAATATAAACATGTTATTTTGGTTCTCATCATACAAATTAAGCATGCCACGTATGGCATTTTGTTCTACCATCTTCATTTGGATTTGGAAGAGCAGCAGCTTGGGAAATAGGTTAGAAATCCAGTTTATTGAGCATTCAGATGGTTCTAGGAAATAATTTCAGAAAGGTAAGAAAGGGACAACTTGACAGTACCCAAACAGTCAAGTTGTGGGATGTAAATCCAAAACAATTAAAGTTAGAGTTAAAAGATGCTAAAATGCTCCGTAGAGCTGAGAGGAACTGCAGAGTCGGTTGATAATTCACTGGGTTCATCATTAAGACTGACAACTTTAACATACTAATATTTATGTAACTTCACTGAGGAGATATCTGGATTGTATTTATCCAGTGTGACTGCATTAGTTCAGTTCAGTGTGCTTTATTGGCATGAATTTAAACAATGTTGCCAAAGCAGTTTGCAACAAAATCAAAAAGTTTTGAATATGACATAACAAGATTAATCCAGTCAAGACCATTCAAATTAGCAGTTATGAATTACAAAAACAAATACTGGCAATACCAAGTATTTGTTATTTTTGACAATATGCATTATGTCTGTTGGGCTTACATTATGTACAATGATGTTTTGTTATGTGTCTCCGAAGGACGTGGAGTTGAGTCCAGACCCCAATGAGATCAAAAGCCACTGTTACGTGAGCAAGGAGGAGCTGAAGGAGATGTTAGAGAAGGCCAAGCGCAAGGAACTGGAGATCACACCCTGGTTCAGCCTCATCGCAGAGACCTTCCTCTTCAAGTGGTGGAACAACCTGCACAGCCTCAAGCAGTTCATAGATCACACCAAGATCCACCGCATGTAACCACAACCAGGGACAGGCTCAGCCTCCAATCATTTCAAACCTTTGGTTGTTCTAGAATTTGCTTGACATACCATGCCAGCTGAGCCGTTTGAGACCCCCAGACCCACTGATGTCGGAAAAATCACTGGCCACTCTTGTCGTGGTAGTAGTAAGTGTAGGACTTCAATCAAAAGTGTAGGACTTCAACCAAAAGTTGAAGCAGAGAATGTTCATGTTTGCTTGATGTTAAGAGGTGATGTGGCTGCAGTAAGTTTGTAGCTCTGAGAGGCATTCATTTAACGCAAGCAAGAAGAGCTGGTAGGCAGACTCTTAGTGAGTATTTAGAAAACATATACGTCAGGGAGTCAATTCTGATAAACTGCACACTGGATTTACAGACGGAACAGAAGGAAAGACATTTATCCTTTTTATTTGATCAGGTATAAACATGCATTATCACTGACAACCCCGTAAAGAGAACAGCCTATTTTTTTAAAAACACTTTAAGTGCCTGAGTGCAGGTCCTTAGTTTGAGATGAATAAGCACTTATGTGACATCACATCACAACAACCACTGTCACTCTGTATGCTGACGATGTCAGTGAACAAGCTGTATCTTTGTACCCTTTTACACAATAAAGTGTTTGATTATGGTCATTGGTGGTACTTTGCTGTATTTTGGCAACAAAAAACCTGGATATCATTAATGTTACAATATGTTCAGTCTCTATAAAACATTTGCACTGAAGAAGAAAACTTTTATAACGAGTAATGTGGACATGATAGGAAAATAGCTAAAGGCATTCATGGTGGTGGAAATGTTTGAGTTGCAGCTTTTTAATATAGAAAAAGCATTTAATCTATATTTATAGTACCATAAATAATATCTTGTTTTGTGATATCAATTTATCACCTCATTTAATAATAATGTAGTCGCACTGAAGGTACAATGGTGCTTTTCAGATGGTATTCCAGTAGGTGGCAGCAAAAGCCAGCATTTCACCTTTGAATAAGTACGAGACAAATACCTAAAGCTAAAAGCTCACTGCACACATTTGTTCACTAAAATAACAAAACTGTTACAAATTAAACTTATACCCATCAGGCCAAAGCATTTAACAGCTTTCTACAATTTCTCATTATCCAGCAATTCTTTTTCACCACCGTGCAGTGTCACAACACCCATCCTTTATTCATGTGCTGCAGTTCTCCCAAATGACCACATAGAAGTGTTCTACAGTTCAACTTTTGATACACACTGTTACAGAATGACCATAAACTGTACAAAGGGGTTAAATAAGAGTTTAAGTTCAGTTTGTATTAATTAGAGGCACTTTATTAGTAAGCTTGATACAATGTCTGCACATTACCCATTTCCGTTAGAGCACTGAAACTGGTACACATTGGTATACATCAGATACATGTTTTATAGACTTCATTATACGACCATATAAGAACAATTGAAAATCAAAACAGACACACTTGCAGTAAACATGCATAGATTTTAATAAATGCTACTGTATCTAGTTTTTATACTGTCAGACTAAATCAAAAGTCAATAGCCAGATCACTGGAAAAACACTTCTTTGTCTGTGTCCCTGTCCAGGGAACTATGGTGTCTGCTACTCTACTTTATATGTGGAAGGCAAAGTAATCAAAAGTAACTGGCAAGATGGTAGACCACAGTAAATTTACAAACATACAATATGTCATGAGACTCAGACAATACAACAAAACCTACAGTGAGACTACTTTCTAGTTATCACAATATTTCAGATTCATACTTTAAGGTACATATAGCTCTGGATTACAAGGGTTTACTACCCACACAGAGTTTGGCATTTCATTTGGTAAAATAACTAAACCTTGGTCTTTGTAGTACATTATTATAGGTGAGTGCACAGGAAAGTATGTGAAACATTAATGTAAATATAGAGTTTCAAAACAGCTTCAACTAGAGCTACTTGGCCATATGTACGTTATGGTACTAGTAGTGGTGCAGCTATTTTTCTGTAGATGTAAACATAATATTATTTTATAGAGAGAGGGACAGGAAAGTCATGGGAGAGAGAGAGGAGACAAGCAGCAAAAGGCTATGGACTCCCTGATACATGGAACATGCTGTACCAGGTGAGCTACCCCGTGTAAATGCATTTTCATAACTATTGTAATGTTTGATGCAGGAACCATCAAACAGGCAAAAAAAAAGTAACACTTATTACGATACATTACAAAAAAGTTAGTAAGTCAGTTTCAAATGTAAGATGTCATGTTTTAGTGAGTACCACAGAAACAATGAATGCTTTTAAATCTTTGCACTGTTTGTCTTATCTGTTATATTTAGAGCCCGACCGATTTATCGGTATGCAGATATTATTCGCTGATATGAGCTAATTGCAGATAAAATCGTTATCTGTGTTTCTAACAGCCGATTTATGACTTTAAAAAAAACAAACAAACAAAAAAAGAGTCAGATCCTTCACTCACGTTAAGAGTGTTGCACAGTTTGCCCACCAGAGGGCCCTCTGCAACTCCCGTGTTAACAACAGGTCTACCAGGGACCACTCGTCTGTAGTTACAGTCGTTGCATCAGATATGATTCAACCAGAGGGGACATGTAAATAAATGTGAGCTCAACTAGTATCTACCACGGCTTCCTGACAGACAAAGTTATCTGCCTCCTCTTTCAAATGTGAAACCTCAACACTGCGAGTCCTCATAGACAGTCATGTAGCATTAGATGCATTCAGCAGTATAGTTTACTCTGGGTGACTGTGTCATCAATGGAGGTAGAAAAATTCTCGTAGCTTTGTATAGAATGAAAAGAGAGCTGGTAAAGGGATAAACTAGATGTGATTATGCTACATTAAAAATAGTCATTGTGGCAGATTGAAGGTAATAACTAGCCTACTGCCTGACAAAAAATATTGGCTATGTTAGGGATAAGCTTTGTATGCGTTTCGGCTGATATATCAGCATATCGGATTTTAAAATCCTAAAATATCAAGATTGGTCTTAAAAATCCCATATCGGTCGGGCTCTAGTAAAAAAAAAAAAAAAACTAAATTAATTATTTCAATAATGCCCATCACTCTTTCAAAATGATAGCTAACTAGGTCTATTTTTACACTTAACAGAAGACGCAGGTTGGTTGATGAAGCTGATTGCTTACGATGTATTGTGGTTGGGGCAGCTGTCTTTGGCTAAACTGCATGCAGTGAATAAAAGGCTCAAGTTAGGAAAGTGTAGGAAGGACATTTGTCTAATTGCATAATGAGATGAAGCTGGGATCTGCTTTGTCGCTGCAGGAGATGAAACTGGTCTGTGTCTGGTTTCTTCCCTGTAGCATCAGATGGTCCCTGAAGGGTTTGGTGCAGGACTGGGGTTGGGTGGACTCAGCTTCATGGTATTAAAAAAGTCCACCAGCTGACCTGGTACTTCTGCCAACACACTCTTTGCGAGTGCTTCCCGAGGAGCCTGAATAGCAAAAAGGAGTTAAAATAGTAGTACAAAACCGTAAGAGAAAAAGAAATCTATAATTATCTAATGATTTGTTATGTGATCATTATCACCACTGGGGGGGAGGGCATGAATAAGAAGTAGAAAGTCATGGAGATGAAGAGAGTTATAAAGGAAAATTCCACCCTTTTATATTTCCACACACTTTGCTTTTCACTTTATTTCAGGAGCTTGGTGAGCAATATTGTTTCCTCATTTCCACTTTGTTTTGTTTAGCTGCAAACCAACTCGCCTTGGAAATAATGCAAGCCGTCAGGCAGATTGAGGTTTACTATAGTGTAGTACAGACGAATAAATGAACCTTCACAGTTTTCATAAATTTGGCTGCTAAGCTTGCTGCTGGCTCATTGTGGCATGCAACATTTGTTGTGTGAGGAGTCCAGAAAGGCCTTAAATCCAGTGACTCACATTAGAACTTGAGATTTCCTGCTGCTTCAGTGAAAATATACAAAAATGTGCTGTTATTGTACAGCAAAAAACTTGACATTCTGTTGTCTACATTTGGCTAGGTGGCAATTAGGATTTGTGAAAATACACCAAGAACTGAAAATCTTACCACCAACTGCTGATCCAGAGCAGAATTTTCCCTTTAATGTAAACAAGAATGTGTTTCTGAGATCAGTCACCAGTGCTTCAGATCCTCAGACAGAAAGTACAACACAGTTCATTGTACTCTCTCTCCCTCTCTCTCTCTCTCACTTAGCACTGATGACGACTCTTTAGCAAAACATAGTATGAAAAGTTGAAAGGAAAACATGCGATGATTCAAGCAGTAATTCAGTGAGATGATTATTCATAAAGACCAATCAAAGGCAAGGATTGGCGTGGGGTTTATAAATATTTGGGGTACCCCTATGAAGGATTGGGATCGTGGGGAGGCTTCAGTTTGAATAAACTGAAGAAGGAGGCCACTTGCTGAGGTAACTCGGCCAATACGCTTTGGGCAAGAGCCTGGCTGGGCGCCTGCAAAGAGATAGATACACAAGGCACACAAGTAAGCTAATTGAGATGTGGGTTGAGGGGCTGGGAATCTCTGGGTTTGGGTACGTATACTGGCATTGGATGGGGACACCACTATACTATGTTTGGATTTGAATTTAGAAGCCTGTTAAACCAAAAATGAAGCAGTGAAATGCTGAGAGAGCTTGAAATGCATGCAGGTTTTACAGCAATTAGTTGGTTTATTGAGTAAAATCAGCTGAAGTCACAGCAAACCCCTATCCCATTTCTTGTACAAAGCAATGAGTAATATAAATAGGTGTTGAATGTTTTCAGTCAGACTTACATTTTGGAACTGCCTGAATGGCACAAACTGGACTATGTCTCGCAGGGCAGCCTCGCCAGTCTGAGAGCGCAGACTTCCATCGTCTCCATCCAGGAACTCCATGGCACTGAAGTCTGCACCTCCTACTCCAACAATGATGATAGACATGGGCAGGCGAGAGGCGTTGACGATGGCACTGCGCGTCTCATCCATGTCTGTGATCACCCCGTCAGTGATGATGAGGAGAACAAAGTATTGCTTCAGGAAGACAGCGACAACAAGAGGTGGTAGATGAGTGAAATGGCTGAACTGTTTGCACAAATGCTTCTTACATTGAAGTCTCACACGGTCAAGGTGTACTTGAGTGATATCAGCTAAAGCAAAATGTCTCAAATCAAATCCCAATGTGTTACGTTTACCTACTTCAAATGATTTAAGCTTCATTTATGACTGGCTGCTGTCACTGAGCACTAGCGCAATGAGCAGCATGAAATGCAAAAGGTGAGTCACTCAACAAGTTTCAATTTGTTAAAGTGACTATTAATAATCATTATTAAAATGAACAGTGGTATTACTTGCCACTTTTAAGAAGTTAATTTTACCTAAAATCAAGGGTTCACAGAGTTCCACATATATGCAGCTATTGTCAAGCATACAACTCAAAGCAGAACCTCTCCTGGGCATACAAATCTGATAACTATGAGCCTGCCATCTGATGATAGCTTGAACAGGCCATCTCTGTGGTATTATCCTATAAGTGCTGTTGCTCTGGATGAAGCTATTATTAAATAATCCTGTTACCAATTGTGAAAATGATGCATCAAGAATTAGGAAATGAGTAGTGGTAGGCTTTCTTTCCCATCCCACCCAATGTGGCAAAACCAAATTTCTCCAGCAACTACAACTTGTGGAACAGGCAGGGGCAGTGCAAGGGGAATAGTGACTAATGTCTGTTGTAGCCAAACTACTTTTTTAAATACAGATGATCTGGAAGGAGTGCAAACCATCTTCCACTGTAATTCATCGATGTTTGGAGAACTGCTTGATCCGTTAAATATGGAGAGTCTCTGTGCATGCCGTGAAGTCAGCCTGGCTGTCGAAGGCTATAGTCATATTGCTGGTGATGGCTGAACAGATAAATACTCACTGATGCAGTGGTCTGCTGAAGGGCTTGCTTTGCAAAGCAGGCTACATGGTTGATGATAGGGGAGAAGTTGGTGGGACCGTAGAGTTTGACCTGTGGCAGGCACTTCCTGTAGGCCTCCACCACACCTTCAATGCCTACACACACACACACACACACACACACAGGATCACACATGTATCAACACACTGCAAACAGAGTGCTACTGTATTAAACTGCACAATATCATCTGCTTCAACCTATAAATATATATATAAATGTAATACATCTGTATAAATGTATCTAAGGTAGCGTTAGACTGATAAATCGGTCGGCTGATTAATCAGGCCGATATCTGATACCTGCACTCACGAGGCCGATTTATCATCCTAAATGACAGCAGACCTAATCCAAAACCATTACTGGCTAGCATTAAATATATATTGTTATACTGTAGAGAATCATGCAGCTGACTAGGGCTGTAGCTAACGATGATTTTAGTACTGAAAGCTTCTACAGATTATTTCATCAATGCATCGTTTAAGAAGTACTTTTGCTTGGCAGAGGCGGGATCAGCTGTGTAAGTTGATAGATGATAGATATTTACTAGTCCTTTCGGAAATTCATAGTGTGTCATACAGCAAACATCAGAGCAACAACATCCACAGACCAATAACCAGACAACTTCAACTTGACATAATCCTATACTTTGGACGGCCTCTTTTTCGTCCCTCGCTATTTTCTCTCATCCTCCTATTTAGTAATCGAATTAATCGATTTAATCAACAAATTGTTTCAGCCCTACAGCTGAATGACATCACTTCCAACAAACTGTACCCCACTCTCCCTTAAACACCAGTCACGTTCTGAAATCAGCATTACATAAAGTATTTTGCTCTTTCATTACTTAATAAAAGATCCATCAAAAAACACATGCTACAGGCTAAGATAACCATGTAGTATTTAGATTAGATTAGACTTTGTATGGAATAATGGAATTATACATGACTTTTCTTTGTTTTCATATCAGCATTATATTTTGGCATCAACCATTTAAAAACCGGTCAACCACTAACTATAGGTTCACTGATTTGGAACCATACCTGCACAAAATGGATTTGATGGGTTGAAATTGAGAGGAAACTCGTGGGAAACCTGTTAAGTAAAACACAATATCATCAGATATCATTTCCTAAGAGAAATCACCATGTGGCTTTTCTATCTGATTCAAAGTGCATTCAAACAGCAGTCCAATCCTTTGCATGCATTTGCAGTTTTACATTTAAATGCACATCTTACCTGCCATGTCGGAGGTATTTGTGCTCCAAAGCCAAAGGAGGGAAACATCTTGTCACTACACAGGAGGGACAAACAATACTAGCACATAAGTGTCATTTAAATGCAAACTATTCCAGCTATTACATTGTCACTGATATTTTCAAAGTTTGTTGGGGTTATGTTCATCCATGCTTCTGTCACTATTAGGGAAATTTGATGATGTGAATATGAAGTTTTCAATGTACTACACAGTTTTTTATGTATCATACATACGTGTCATAGTCCTGGATGACATTGCCTACGGACCAGATAGCAGAGAGGTATTCGTTAACGCCCTGAGGACTAATGTAATGCAGAGACTGAGGAGACTTGGGATCCCCGTTGGAGCCTGTGAAGTCTATAGCCACCTGCCAAAACGTTCAATAAACATAACAGATGCAGATATCATTAGCCTTATTAGTGAATTAATAATATAAATAAGCTTTAATAGAGAAGCCACAACTTACAGTGAAGTTGATTTGACAGCCTCCCATGATATAATCCAGGAAGGTATACTCCCTCACCACCTAAAAGAGGACACATAATCTCAAATCCATGCTGCTGCAGAAGTCCAAGGATTAATATCACACGTTCAACAAGCAAAAAATAAAAATACAGTACTGCACCTGGCATAGCTTCACACTCACAACACCAGAGTTCTTGTAGCCTTTCTTCTTCTGTTTCTTTTTACTGTTGATACATTCAAACTCAGCCTGAGGACAGAACAAAACAGCATGGGTGTCTCTGTGTCACTGCCACAAGACCATAAACATTAAAGTAATGTGTTGGAAAGTCACATTTTGCTTGGAAGTAGTCAGTTTTCTTAGATGGACTGATTCACAATGATTAGTAGGTTCTGACTAGGGCTGGTCAATAAAACAATAATAATCGCAATATAATTTTCCTCAATAACAATATAACAAATGTTCAATAAATATAATTCATTTGAATCACAAATTAATTAATGCTTAATTTTTCTATTAAGATATTTTTTTGTTGAGGATAAGGGAATGGAAAAAGATTTTACTTAAATTTACTCATATTTGTTGAAAGAAAAAAAAAAAGATTTTATCATAATTATTGTGAAAGTTCTACTCCACTTGAAACACTTGATGATCCACTATTTGGCCTGTTTTTGTTCTGACCGTAAAGAATAATTTAAAACCATTAAAACAGTGTTTGAAACAAAGCTGCAAAGATTAATTATTAGTTGTCAATAGAGCTGCACCATTTGGAGAAAAAGTCATATTGCGATTATTGTGGACAATATTGCGATTCAATTATAATGGAACAAATGGTACTATGAGTCTACTTGCTTAATTATCAAGGAATGCGTGACATATTGACATTCTGAAATGTGTATTTCTCAACTTGAACAGAGTTAAACGATAAACAATATTTATAACAACAACAAGTAAAACAGATGTAAAACAGAACAAGGGGAGCGTGTTGCTCTCAGGAGGAGGAGGCTAGAAGCAGCAAATATTGGCACACTGGCATCGACTCAGTGTACATCTGTCTGATGCAGAGTCTCTATCCACATCCTGGAGGAGGAACTGTAAATGAGCGCATTGTATAAAGAGTATAATGTTTAGTTAATAGTTTACTGTTAGTATAACAATATAATATATTAAATACTACATTCATTAGAATTTCATATAATAGTATACTTTTTACCACTTGTTGAGTATTAAAACCAGTTACAGCCGTTTCATTTTTGTTGGTTGTTTTTTTTTTTTAAATGTAATAATTGTGCAAGCAAAAGCCTCTACATTGGTCTCTAATTTGTTAATGCTAAGTACTAACTTGTCAATAATCATATTGTTCAACATTTAATGATTTGCTGTAGCACGTTAAACTTTTTTTAATGTCCCGCCCCATCCAGGCTGTGATTGGTCAATTGACGAAAAGTGAGTGACATGCACATCGGCTTTATGAAAAGTTGAACATGCTGAACAACAAAAGGCACTGATATAGCTAAATGCTATGCTAGCCAAACCTTCCTTATCTTGTCCCTGTTTTTTTCTGTCTTACTGCTTCAGCTGTTGCTGACATCGCTCTGTCTGTCATTAGCGGCGGGGCAGGGAGGGGGGATTACGGTAGGTTGTTATCTTAAAAGTTAAAAAAAACAATTTTTTAAAATAATTTTCTGACATTTTATAGACCAAACAACTAAGCAATTAATCGAGAAAATAATTGACAATGAAAACAATCGGTAATTGCAGCCCTACTTTGAAATTTTAGCCGTTCCATCCAAACAATCCACCCACACACACAATCATACCGGAGATGTTCGAGATGCTTCTTTGAGGCGTGTCATTGTGGTCTCAAAGGTTCCAATAAGATCGTGAGAGCCATCGTTGTCATAGTCATAACACTCGACCTGAAGCAGGCAAAACATATAATGATGTGGCAAGCAGGAAAAGTGTTCAATCTTTCACAAAGAGAAACAAAACTACAAAGCAAGTTCACCCAAACTTCAGAAAATAATGACCTCACTGTGAAGTGAAAGGAATAGTCACTATGTAATGTTTTCACAGCGAGATCTATGCATTATCCAAAGTTACTGGGAAACCTCTAAAGTCCATTCGCCTCCACTGTATTGGGCTGTAGGCACATTCTAAAAATCAGTGAGAAAAGCTTTTCTGAATTTGAGTGAACCGACGCTTTCAGTTTATTTTTTAAAAACTTGGGAGGCACAGAAAACAGAAGAAACAAAAACATGCAAAAGTGAGATTCAGAACACAAGTTTTTGTAATACTGATGTGCTAGACAGAAGTTGGCAGTACAATGACTCAAAGAAGAGTATGTGAAGTTTCAGACAAATGTTCTGACAGGATCGAGTTGGATGAAGGAAACTTGAGGCGGTGTCTTGGCCTCCAATCTACCCCATTCTCACACTTCACCAGTTAAGTGATGGTAAGATGAAAAAAGACAAACACTGTAACACACTGGGTAACTCACTTGTACTGTCAGGTTGGAAACTGCTTCCTTCTTGAAATGTTGGCTTCAGAAGTTAAAAAAATATACATCATCAAGCTAGTACTAAATCAACTCCAATCAGTTAATAGGTTTTGAGATATCTGAGACAGCCAACATAATTTCCTCTGAAAACTATTTAAACCTTCAAGAGAGGTTGTCATGACCATGAAAATACAGTGTCTCTGATATTTAACCAAAACAATTGCAGGTGTTTAAATAAAGACATTCCAGAGGTGCAAGTAGGTAAAAGGTTTTAAAAAATAAAAAAAGGTATCAGAGGTACTTTTATAGGTTTATCCAGGTCTCCTCCACAGAGAGACTGCAGGGGGATTCGAAAGGGTTTCCATGTTGGATTCAGGTTGTTCTTCACCACCTGAGGACAGAATTAATGAAAATTATAAAATTTATATGGAACTCATGCAGCTTCTTAAATTAAACTAAAATCACATTTAGTCAGTTCTTTTTGTAGTCACAAATAATAAGATGTTTAAACATGTGAGAATACCAAATTAAATGCACATGGTCAGCACTTAAGCCCCGCTACAAGATGCCTTCACGTATGCAGTTTAGTCAGTCTGTTGTGCTGCCCCCGTACAAAGCTACAGATCAGGAATTATCAACAGGTCTTTTCTAATTGACAGTATGCCAGTAATTCAGTGCCTTACGTCTTACAGTAAGAATTATAGTCAATGTGCCACAGTTTCTGTTTAAATTTTTATACATTTATATATACATATACAATTATACAGTATATATTATCTGCAGTTACATCACTAATGCAAGTTGTCCAAATAAACTAAAAGATAATGAAAGAAAAGTGAACTGTTTATTTGAATCATGGATCTTTATAAATACGCTGTTTTAATAGTAGCATATAGTCACATAGGGGGAATAAATCCATCCTTTATAGAAATCTTAAATGTTGATGCATCGATAATAGTTTTACGATCACATTGTAGCCCTCTGAATCACAATCCAATTGTGAGGTGCATAGAGATTCCCACCACTATGCTAAGGCTTTGTTGCAACACAGCTAGGGCCATCAGAGATTCCTCTTTTGAAACAGACAAAACCAAAAAGGAAGTGTAAGGTAACTAACTGTTCATCTCCTAACAGTTTCATTACCGTCTGTGAAAAGGGACCAGAAAAGAAATGAAAGGTTAATATTAGATTAATACGTTTTCCATTTGCATGTGTTTACCTCTGTCCTGTGAGCCAGCTGCCACCCAGTTTCTGTCTGCTTGTAGAATTCCAGGTAAGGGTCGGACTTCCCGAAGAAATCCTGTAAATGAATAAAAGGAATGAAGCAGACCAAGAAGTAAAATGCATGCATCTTAAATACCTAAAAATGAACAGCAGCATTTAAGATGTCAAAAAGAACCACTCATACCTTGTTATCTAGTTTTCTTGCTTCAGCCTCAAAGTTCACCACCCTGTTATCTTTTATTTCTTCTGCACTGATCTACAGCAGAATGAACAATGAACAACAAAGGAAAAATAAACACAGCCAAACAACATTGCAACATTTCTCTCTAGCTCTCTCTCTGCCACTCACTGTGATGGTCCCTTTTCCAGCAGGGGTCTTGTTCTTCAAGACGAGTGGTCGGGTCAGTTTTTTACTAGACACAACCTGGAAGCAAGTAAAAAGGAGAATAAAAAGGAGAAGTAGCCGAGCGAAATGAGAAGAAGGAATGAGCTCATCCTGAGTGCAGCAGAGCAGCCACGGGGCAAATAATGTCCAAAAGCATCAGAGAAGATGAACATCAGATTAGATGGACAGAGTCTACACAGCTACTGCTTTATCAGGGATGTTAAGTCTTGATCTCTTAACATGGTAAAACAGCAGTATGTTATTACACAGCAGCATGTGTCCTATCACGGTCTGTCTGACTACACTGTGATGTCTGTTTCTTAGGAATCTTCATACTGCCGGGAAGTGTGAACCAAACATTTTTAAACGTTGTTCAATGAAATTAAAAGTAAGGAACTGAAACCTTCAGCACACCACAAAGTCAAACACTCACAAAGGGAGTGACTTATTATTGGCTTTAGGAGCTAAAGAGCGGCTTTGTGTGAACATGTATGGTGGAGTCATGTCCTCCCAGAAGAAGAGAGAAAAGCCATACCTGGCCCAGGGTGCACTCCAGTTGCCCCAGGAAATCGTCGTCACTCAGGTCAATAGTTTTGTTGTCGATGTCATAAACCCCAAACTTCAGTTTCTGCACTATTTCAAAATAGTAGTCGACAACAAACTTTTTTGCAAACTTTGGGCTGAGACAATTCTGGACTTTCTCTGTGCGCCCCACCTGTTAGGAAAGGTTGGATTGCTTTATTTTTGCTACATGCACACATTTCAAGAGATTCACTAGTCGGAGAATTAAAATTGCCGTAAAAGGTAGAACAAGTAGTAGTGGCTTTACACAACAATAACCGTTCCACCTCAGGGTTAAGGACTGGCACTGCTTTTCTACTGCAACAGTGACAGAACTGCCACACCCAGATTACTTTAAATATCCAGCATAATATGATCACAAAGGAGTGGAGGTTTCATAGAAGTGTATTTACATGCATTTCAAAATAACATTTATTTTGTGTACTGACTGGTTTCAGTGTGTGTGACATTCAGACAAAATTAAATCAAAAATATTTTAGCAGCTTTACAACCGTTCTCCACTGTCAACTATACACAGGTACGATCTCTGATTAAATTAATCCAGCCGCAGTCATCTTACTGACCTCATACCACTGGGAATCAGAGCTGCTCATTAGAAGGACACACAGAGGGTCAGACTTTGAGCCGATGTCTCGGTCCAGGAGATTCTCACAGGACACAGTAAGCTCCACCTTGGTTACACACTGAGCAGCCATGTCTGACCTGCAACATGCTGGAGAAACAGCACAGCACAGACAGGAACATTGCTGTGTGAACAAAACTTAAATGTACAAACCGGACGTAACGTTAACTTTCAACGTTATTTCTGCGAATAAAAACGTGTAAAAAAACATATTTAAAAAATATATTTTAAAAGAAGCAGATAAAGCTTTTGTTTAAGGTTTTTTACTTTACCTTCAGTGACATTACCTTTAACTTACATATAGCTAGCTTCATGTAACTTCACTGCATAAAACCGCGGTGCCTCCCACAGACATGCAGTTATTGTGTCATGGAAACCGTGACACAATAACAAGCACTAATGAAAACTAATCTGGCCAGTAGGGAGGATAAAATCTGACGGGTTAACGTTAATTTACAGTAATTTAAGGGAAAGTAAAACAGCTAACGCAAGCAAGCTAAATGGGCTAACGTTAGTAAATGATTAAGTTGGAAACGTTACGTTAAATGTGATAATAATCGTTAGATTGTTTAACGTTACTTAACTTCCGGACATAATTAGGTTCTAATGAAAATCAAAATTTACCGTTGAACGTTTGAGACACGAAGAAAATATTTTCCTGGGTGACGCTGGTGTTCACTTATGTTACTACGCGGTAGAGTGGTATCCTTCCGAAAGTAAATGTTTCGCAGATGTTGGCTGAGGTTCCTGCCTTCAACACGCAAAAATTACGCCCACCAAGAACTAGACCTTCTTCTTCTTCTTCTTCTTTAATGGCGGATTGCAAACAACTTTTAAGTGCATACCGCCACCTACTGTACTGGAGTGTGTAACATCATTTCACTCAGCTATCAACCTCAAGAAGGTGCTCTCATATTCTGTTCACCAACCCAGTGTCTTTAAGAAATTTAAATAATGCCTTCCTGGTGATTCTTATACCCTTTTCTTCTCCTTCTGTTCCCAGTACCCCCATCAGATTCCATTCTTGCCCTGCTTCCTGAACCCTATCTTGAAAGAACTAGACCTCTTGTTCTTCTTTCTTTTTCTTTTCCATGCAACCATGAGTTTTACAGGTGCATACCGCCACCTACTGTACCGGAGTATGTGGCACTTACAGGGACTACACATCCATCCTTCCATCCATCGTCAACTGCTTGTCCTGTGTACAGGGTCGCCGGAGCCTATCCCAGCTGACATCGGGCGGGACAGGTCGCCTGGACAGGTCGCCAATCCTACTTCACATCATCAAAATAAAATAAAACCAAACCCCATAATATATCCGTGTACTTTTTTTATATTATTGCACAATAGCTTTCTGTGTGTCCTTTACCCCATCTCCTGTTGTTTCTAATAAACCTTCATGGTCCCATTTGCTTCCTGCCTGACTTATCTGTTGATTTAGCCTAATCCTCTCATCCATGTTTCCTTCATGTAATAACATCGGACATTTTCTATGGATTTACATTCCAAACATTCATCCGATTGACGTTTGCTTATTAAAAACAATATTTCATTTAATCCTGTATGACCAAACCTTAGTCTGGTTAAAACGCTTTTCTCTCTTCTGTTCCTTCTAATCACACCCTGAGCATTGATAGATTTCTGCACACTGTAGTATTTCCTTCTACTATTCTTCATGTCATTTCTTTTTTGATTATTGCCTTAACTTCTCATTTTCCTTGTTGATTTTGAGCTATTTTGTCTGCTCCATCATTCCCTTTTATACCTACATGTGCAGGTACCCAGCAGAATCTCACATCTATCCCAAGCTTCTGTAATCTAAATAAACTTTGATGGATTTTTAACATTAAATCTTCTCTATTACATGTAATTTTTCTAATACTATAAAGGGCTGCTACAGAAACTACACAACACTCCACTCTGTCTGGTCGTACTTCCTCTTCCCACTGTAACCCTACAATAATCGCCATCATCTCTGCTGTGTACACTGACGCCTGATCAGGATATCTCTTCCCAATGCTTACATTCATTGTTGGTCTGTTCCTACCTTGTCCTTTTCATCTTTAGACTTGTTTGTATAAATAACTAAATAATGTAATATTTGCTTCTTGTACTGACTTGCCATATGTCCTTTCCCACTCTCTTCCCATCCTGTCTTTACTGCCATTATATTTAAGTCTATCTCAGTTTTTGGAAACAACCAAGTAGGGATATTACTAATAGGTGTAGGGGAGTTACACCAGGTATTCTGTAATTTATATTTCTTTGATTCAGCCTTTGTTATACAGCCAAAGCCATTACCTTTAAAAGAAGTATACTCCCAACACTCCTGAATCACACTCTTTGAAGGGTTTTCATAACCAAATCCATGTAAATGACTCCAGTGTGTAAGCATGAGTTTATTGCTTTTCAGGTCTAAGGGCATTTCTCCTAACTCAACTTGGATTGCCTTAGTTGGTGTTGATCTCATTATACCAGCACAATTTCTCAATGCTTTCTTAATAACTCTTATCTATTTTTATTAAATGTGTTTTAGCTGTTGCTCCATATACATAGTATCAATTATCTATTGTTGACCTCAGTAAGTACACAGGGCCCACATGTGAGGAGGGCCCACAGAGATCAGAAAACTAGAATACAATACTAAATTGAATAGGATGTGGGGAGGGGCCCATTGAGAATGCCTATGCAGGGGGTCCAGAATTTTGTGCTACGCTCCTGTTTGCATTAACCTTGATTATCTAATGGTGTGTTGCAGTTTCTCATTGTGACTACTCAATGGCAGTTATCAACCATGATTTAAAGGGGGTCAGGGGGTGGGGGAAGACTCTGGACAGACCTGGTAAGCCCAAACGGGTAGTGCAAGTGAACTGGGAACGTCCCGGTTCCGGAGGAGGCCCCTGTCCGTGAGATCTTCAACTTAAACCTCCAGTGGAGCTTTTCTGGCATCCCTGTGGAGGTTGGGGACATTGAACAGGAGTGGGCAATGTTCAAAACCTCTATTGCTGAAGCTGCAGCGGAAAGCTGTGGTCTCAAGGTCTTAGGTGCCTCAAGGGGCGGTAACCCTCGAACACCGTGGTGGACACCGGTGGTCAGGGAAGCCGTCTGACTGAAGAAGGAGGCCTTCCGAGATTTGTTGTCTCGGAGGACTCCGGAAGCGGTTGCAAGGTACCGACGGGCCCAAAGGACTGCAGCCTCTGCTGTGGCAGATGGAAAGCAGCGGGTGTGGGAGAAGTTTGGAGAAGACATGGAGAAGGACTTTCGGTCAGCACCAAAGTGTTTCTGGAGAACTGTCCGCCATCTCAGGAGGGGGAAGCGGGGAACCGTCCAAGCTGTGTACAGTAAGGATGGGACCCTGCTGACCTCAACTGGGGAGGTAATTGGGCGGTGGAAGGAACACTTTGAGGAACTCCTAAATCTGACTGACACGCCCTCTTTAGTAGGGGTTGAGCTCGAGGCTGATGGGGGATTCTCGTCAATTTCCCTGGTGGAAGTCACTGAGGTAGTCAAACAACTCCACAGTGGCAAAGCCCCAGGGATTGATGAGATCCGCCCAGAAATGCTAAAAGCTTTGGGTGTGGAGGGGCTGTCTTGGATGACACGTCTCTTTAACATTGCGTGGAAGTTGGGTACAGTGCCCAAGGAGTGGCAGACTGGGGTGGTGGTTCCCCTGTTCAAAAAGGGGGACCAGAGAGTGTGAGCCAATTACAGGGGTATCACACTTCTCAGCCTCCCCGGTAAAGTCTACTCCAGGGTGCTGGAACGGAGGGTTCGGCCGATTGTCGAACCTCAGATTAAAGAGGAACAATGCGGTTTTCGTCCCGGTCGTGGAACAACTGACCAGCTCTTTACTCTCACAAGGATCCTGGAGTGGGCTTGGGAGTATGCCTATCCAGTCTACATGTGCTTTGTAGATCTGGAGAAGGCGAATGACCGGGTCCCCCGGGAGATACTGTGGGAGGTGCTGCGGGAGTATGGGGTGAGGGGGGCCCTTCTCAGGGCTATCCAATCCCTGTACATCCAAAGTGAGAGCTGTGTCCGAGTACTCAGCAGTAAGTCGGACTCTTTCCAGGTGAGGGTTGGCCTTCACCAGGGCTGCGCTTTGTCACCTATCCTGTTTGTGATATTCATGGACAGGATATTGAGGCGTAGCGGTTCGGGGGGCTTGGGATCTCGTCACTGCTTTTTGCGGATGATGTGGTCCTGATGGCATCATCGGTCCGTGACCTTCAGCTCTCACTGGATCGGTTCGCAGCCGAGTGCGAAGCGGTTGGGAGGAAGAGTAGCACCTCTAAATCTGTGGCCATGGTTCTCAGCAGGAAACCGGTGGAGTGCCAACTCCAGGTAGGGAATGAGTCCTTACCCCAAGTGAAGGAGTTCAAGTACCTTGGGGTCTTGTTCACGAGTGAGGGGAGACTGGAGCAGGAGATTGGCCGGAGAATCGGAGCAGCGGGGGCGGTAATGCACTCGCTTTACTGCACCGTTGTGGCGAAAAGAGAGCTGAGCCGTAAGGCAAAGCTCTCGATCTACCGGTCGACTTTCGCTCCTACCCTCACCTATGGTCATGAAGGCTGGGTGGTGACCGAAAGAACGAGATCGCGGGTACAAGCAGCCAAAAAGGGTTTCCTCAGGCGGGTGGCTGGTGTCTCCCTTAGAGATAGGGTGAGAAGCCTGGCCATCCGCGAGGAGCTCAGAGTAGAGCCGCTGCTCCTTTGCGTTGAAAGGAGCCAGTTGAGGTGGTTTGGGCATTTGGTAAGGATGCCTCCTGGACGCCTCCCTAGGGAGGTGTTCCAGGCACGTCCAGCTGGGAGGAGGCCTCGGGGAAGACCCAGGACTAGGTGGAGAGATTATATCTCCACACTGGCCTGGGAACGCCTCGGGATCTCCCAGTCAGAGCTGGTTAATGTGGCTCAGGAAAGAGAAGTTTGGGGTTCCCTGCTGGAGCTCTTCCCCCCGCGACCCGATCCCGGATAAGCGGATGAAGATGGATGGATGGAATTTGAAAGGAATACAATATAATATACAGAACTATGTTTTCAGTGGTGAATAAAGACCTAATAACCTGGGTTCAATTCCCCTCTGTGACACACTAATGTGTCCCTGAGCAAGACACTTGACACCTGGTTGCTCCCGAGGCGTGCAACCTCTGACATACAGTGGGTACGGAAAGTATTCAGACCCCTTTAAATTTTTCACTCTTTGTTTCATTGCAGCCATTTTCCAAAAATCAAAAAAGTTCATTTTATTTCTCAGTAATGTACACTCAGCACCCCATCTTGACAGAAAAAAAACAGAAATGTAGAAGTTTTTGCAAATTTATTAAAAAAGAAAAACTGAAATATCACATGGTCATAAGTATTCAGACCCTTTGCTCAGTATTTAGTAGAAGCACCCTTTTGATCTAATACAGCCATGAGTCGTTTTGGGAAAGATGCAACAAGTTTTTCACATCTGGATTTGGGTATCCTCTGCCATTCCTCCTTGCAGATCCTCTCCAGTTCTGTCAGGTTGGATGGTAAACATTGGTGGACAGCCATTTTCAGGTCTCTCCAGAGATGCTCAATTGGGTTTAAGTCAGGGCTCTGGCTGGGCCATTCAAGAACAGCCACGGAGTTGTTGTGAAGCCACTCCTTCGTTATTTTAGCGGTGTGCTTAGGGTCATTGTCTTGTTGGAAGGTAAACCTTCGGCCCAGTCTGAGGTCCAGAGCACTCTGGAAAAGGTTTTCGTCCAGGATATCCCTGTACTTGGCCGCATTCATCTTTCCCTCGATTGCAACCAGTC